TTTTTTTTTTTTTTTAGTGGCCCTAATCCTCTTCCGTATAATGAGACAATGGAGATTTGACTTCGTAAAAAAATGGCAGCTTGGTATGTAGACTTGTGCATGATGTGTTGTTTTACTTTTTACGTCTGCGTCTATGTCTTCTATTCTAATAACATATCCAGACCATACTACCTTATTTGTTAAATCAATAATTCATAAAAAACTATTTGACATCATGAAATAGTGTATAAACTTTCTAATCAAACAAATGCCCAGATCTAACTTGAGTTATCTCATCTAAAATTAGAGTTTGTGCACAAAATTACAAAAACAGAAGAACTCTGCTTGGAGCTAAATACTTTTTCATGGCTCTATTTCTCAACACAACATGGATGCATAATCTAATGCATCGATTACTGAATTACCAGGATAAAGGTAATGTCACATGGGTAGGTTGAAGATTGTCAGAGGTTTGTTCGCTTAAATTACGGAGGAGGAAATTCCTCCTTCTCAGTACATAGAATATTGTCTTACATTTAAGATATTTTTTTCCTTAAAGCAACAGTTTAAAAATATATATTTTAAAATCTTCTCTTATTCAGAGATATAGCTGAGACGATTGATACCGTAGTCAAACGCTGTGTGCCCCGCGGCTACAACCTGTTAGTTTAGCATAGCATTAAAAAGTGAAGCAAGACAACATTAGACATGAAAAAGAAAACATACAAGAATACAACTTTCCCAAATCCACAGTTGTAAAATGACAGAGTTACAATATTTGTGTTGGATCAGACGGAAAAAAAAAAAATTTGTTTTAATCTTCAAATATTTAGCAAATGTTGGGCTATGGATCGTTTCCCATTTGCATTAAAAGTGACTTTTATTTTGTACTCTGAAACAAACATTTTCAAATAATCATCCTGCATTCCTTTTTCTTTTCCAAGATCTAGTAGCAGAGTGTTTCTATAACTGCAAAAATAATTGATCTCCATAATCTTTGGAAAAAGATCCTTAATCCCTTGTTGTTAAAGAAGCTAGAAAATAATTGTTATGAAGTTCTGTTATATTGTTATGGCTCCTTTTTCTCTTTTTTTTTCGTAGAAAAGATTGTCAATGAAATGACCAGCGTTGACCAAAATACTATACAAGTAATAAGAATAAAGATCTACTGAAAGTTTGCTTTAGCATCTCTTTACATATTTGCAGGTTTCCAGGGCACACACTGTCAAATCCAAGCTCTCCATTAACCTGATAAACACAAAAAATAAAAACAAAACCCAATTCCCATTAAAAAAAGCTTGAAATGTCAGTAAATGATTGAAGACAGTTCAAAACAAAGAGTAGAGAAAAACACAAAGTCTTAAGTAAAAGGTGAATAAACATGGAGCTTTGTTTTTGCACTTTGCCGTTTCCTGCCCCGTAATGATCTTTTTACCCAACAGTAAGAATTACTAAAGTAAGTAGACCAATACTTCTCTCTGTACACTTTTGACCACCTTTTTAAGAAGAGGGGAAATATTTAAGAGATGCACCTTTAAGTTCTACTACCAGGACTCTAACATGACTAATTAGGAAGCCTTCTCTTTCATTCTTGATCCTTTACAGTTGCACATGGACATCAGGAAGATGCTTTGACTGCATAGAACATGTTGTTCCTATCTTTTTAAACAGACTTCATCAGTCAAAAATACTAGAATATAATTAATATAACAGAATTAAGTCATACATTTACGAGAATAAAGTATAAAATTACGAGAACAGAGTTGAAAAATTAAGAGAAAATTAAGCTTCGAGCTCCGACCAGCATATGAGGGACGACCAGCTCCACCAAACACCTGAGTCCAATTTTTACATACTGCCCAATTAGATACTGGTGTGCTAAAAGATTTTCTTATTTGTCAAACCGATGTAAAAGATGCTCGACATTCTTCATTTTAGCAAAGTGCCTCTTAAAGGAGTTGCCATACAACACAACACTCTTAATATTGCGACTTTATTCCCGTAATTTTATGACTGTATTCTCATAATACTATGACTTTATTCTCAAACAAAAAAAAAAGTCTCTAGTCTGGCCCTAATACTCGGTCGTAAAAACACGATTCATATTGTAATGAAATGAGTTCATATTGTAGTTTTCATGTTTTCTGCTGCTTGTTTGTCACACCCACATGTTTCAGATAAGCAGAGGTCTTTTACAGGACAAAGATAACCTTAATAAATCCAAAGAGCAGCTATTATATAAATATTTTATGCATCAATTGGAAAACATTTGAGTTCTAGACATTATCGATCTGAGGCTGCTCTAAACGCATCTGAGACATTCAGCAGAACCTTCCGAGCTGATTGGTGGAAGCTACACCTAGTGCCCGCCTGTTTTAGAATGGTTTTAGCCAATCACAGTAAAAAATTAAATGGAAGTGGATACCATAGTTTTGTTGTCTTGCCGTTTCTCTTTAAAAGATTCTGAAACACAGATGTGATAGCAGCAGCTGCACCAATATGCTCCTATGGTGCATTGTTATATATGGCTGCGGGCTCGAAAGCTCTTGTTTTTGTTCCACCTATATGTCCTGCCTTAAACCATAATACTGCAATGTGATTGGTCCACAATTTATCTTTAGGGCAAGGGTTATTGTTAGCACCCCAGCTAGATACATTTTTGTCGGACTATGCAGATGTCTTTTTCCCATTGATATTTTTCTATTTGAATTTTTGACAGTCATATTATTTCCACATATGCACAAAGTCGATCTCTATCCTGCTGCGTTGTACCAAAGCCTCCTTTGTGGCTACAATGACCTGATGTCTCAAAAGAGCAAAAAAACTATGCAAAAACTGCACCTGCAATCACTTTCAGGTTAAATAGATGGCTCTGTGGCAGTAAAATTTTGGTCATTATAATGACGCCGAATCGCACATACAAATTACTTTGCACCTTTTATGCATATAATACATCCAAACCTTTCCAAGATCAGGCCCTAACAGTGCATTCACTTCTCATCCAGTAAAAAACAAAATCAACTACAACAATAGACTTCACTGACCTTAACGTCTATGATTAAGATGTAGGAAAGAAACTGACCAAAAAGAATGAGAATTTCTTACACTGGAACATTTCAAGGTGCAAAGTCATGATGACAATAAAGAACACCAAGATTTACCAAAAAGCATATATCTAGCTTCAAGACTTTTGGGAAAATATTCTCTACACTGCAAGACAAAGGTTGCCCACAGTCTAATTGTTGTGGTAGTGTGACGGTCAGCGGTATTATGGTAAGTTTAAGCTCAGCTAATCTTGGGTCCTACAACAAGACATTGATTTAAAATGCAATGACAAGCTTAAAATGTTCAAAACCAGAGCAGACTTTGAAGTTGCATAGTTAAAGTTAAAATTTAAATCGATTTGGCAATGAGGGGACAAGACCTTGAACATGAAGCCCGTCCTTAAAAAAACCCTACAGTTTGACTGTATTGTAACTAGTCTACTATCAGTTATTGGTCAGATTGACTATCTGGCATTTTTAAAAGATATTACAATGGCAGTAGTTACTATCAAAGATGGGCAAGGGGAGTGTTGGCCTAGTTGTTAGACCAGTGCCTTCTTAGAAGGTTGGAAGTACCCGGTTCGATCCCCACAGCCTGCACTCTGGGTCCCTGAGCAGGACCCTTAACCCCACTGCTCCCCAAGGGAATGGGTTAAATGCAGAGGTAAATTTCTCAACTGTGAGATCAATAAAATTCAATCATTATTATTATTATTACATCCAGCTGTTAGATGTTCCCTTAATAAATCAAAACTGCTTTTGGATTTACAAACTGCTGATCTGAAACATGTAAGAAAAACAAAAAAACCCCCAGCAAGATCAGAATAAATCCAGGAAGAGGAGATGAACTTTTCTTATCTGTAAATTTTCATGAAATTTGACTAATAGTTAGAAGATATGAAACCCATTAATTACCAGATATTTGTAAGAAGACGCTGATCTGCTCTTTGGCCATAAACATAACTGATGATCCAGTGAATGAGTGTTTCCAGGATATAAGTTAAGACATGTTCAACAACCCAGACTTTTGTGCAAGGAGGAAAAAAAGAATATAGAGTGCTTCCCCTAGTTGGGGCTATTGTCTCAGAATAATTCAGGACAAAAGACAAAGCAGTTCGAGCTGACTGACAACAGCAATTAGAAGCATTAAAAAGACACTCATGCCATAACAGGGCGAAGCAAAGACACCCATTAATTGTCCATGTGGAAACTGCATGCAACTTAAGTCCTTAGCTATGCTCGGGCGCTACCTCTCTGTTTTGCTTATGTTCTGCATAGCTAGAAGGATTCCAGGTCATTCCTATGTCAAACATGGTCCTGTACATTTTCTGTAGTCCATCTTTAAATCTCAAAACATTACGCAGCAACATTCATAATCTTTTTTAAGACTCCATGTCTTAAATGCACTGGTTGAAAGTCGTACATCCAACACTGCAGATCCATAGAATGAATTGTCTTTCTATGTACATTCTCTCCTGCTGCTTCAGCATTTTTTCACCAAACAGTGTTTAAAAGCAGAGGGGCGGGCATTCAGAACGCAGCCCTTAGACAGTTTGCCATCCTGGTCTTTGCACTGTACCGTCCGGCTCTGCCAGCCAGTGTCACAAGTCCTGGAGCATGTCATCCAAGGTCCCGTTACCCACTTGGGACCTGGAGAAGGGGTTGAGGGAACAGGAGTTGTCGTTGGCATTAGGGCTAAAGCAGCGGGAGTAGGGGTAGCTGTAGTGGTGATGATTGTGGTGGATCTTGTGGTGGTAGACGCTGTGGTGGTGCTCTTTAAAGAGGTCAACTTTGCATTTAAATTCTGCTGTGGGGCTGTCCACCTTGGCATGTAGAAACTATAACGGACATCAAGGGGCTTTTTTGCATCTGTTGCAAGAATTTGGACAACCAAAGCTTCTTTGAGAGCCCCGGGGCCCATGCTGTGGAGCCATTCGTCTCGCTGAGTCCAGCCGCTGTAGTTGAGCAAAGAACCGTTGAGTGGGATGATCGTCTCTGAGGTCGAGATCATGAACTTGCCATTTAGTAGGTACTCGCCACCTGGCCGTCTGAGGGCCAAGTAGGCAGTGAAGCGGGTCTGGTCCTTGGCCAAGTGCTGACGGACTTTAACGTGAGTGGACCCTGCAGGGATCTTTACTATATCAGTGTATCCTTTGCTGTTTGAGGGCAGAAAAAGTCAGAGGAGATCATATCACTAGCTGTGACAGTTTTAAGCTAAAGTTATGACTGAACAACTTAAAATATGAATGAATGAAACCAAAAATGAGAAAGCAGATTAGCTATAAATATAAAAAACACACAAATAACCAGGAACATTTTTGGAAATCTCACCTCTTTTTGGTGAAGTTCCCAACTACCCTTATACACCCCATGCTGTCGCCTCCACATATACCGCATTTATCGAACTGGAGCTTGGAGCCAATGATGCCGTCGCAGCCAGTACGTATGCATTTCCCTTTCACGCATACAGAGCTGCTGTGAGGGCGGCACTCGGTCCCATCTACCACCTGATTGCAGAAAGCCACACCATTATTGCGATCTTCCCCTTCTGCATCGAACAACTTGCACCTTAGCTGTTCAGCTTACTCACCCTATGAGAGAATACCACGTAGTAGCCCGTTCCTTTTGCTCTGCATGTCAGCTTGCACACATCTTTAGGGAGAACTCCTGCATACTTCGGCACCCACTCGACGAAGGTCTTCACCCCTTTAGGGTCTGTCTGGGGACCATTCCGAACCTCACATTGTTCTTGACGGAAACTCTTGTCTGCAGAAAGAAAACGCGAGTAAGAAACAATCGATCTCTTACAGTCTTTCAATCTTTCTTGCACTGATTTGCTCACTGGAAGCCGGGCACGGTGGAGAGACATTACAAGTCCGATAGATGGCTCTCTTTCCTATGCAGTAACGCCCGTTGTTTCGGGGTGCTGGGTTGTTGCACAGACGCTGGGCAAACTGCACCCCGCCACCGCAGGTTCTAGAGCATGCACCCCAAGATCCCCAAGAACTCCAGCTGCCGTGGTTGGATGCCTGGGAAATGGTAAAGTCAAATAGGGGGAAAATAAGAAAAGATGAAGAAGATGAGGGAGAGCAGTTTGTGCTTATCACAGATATTGGATGCATGAGACGCTGTCAGCAAGAACAGATTGCAAGAGATGTGTGATAAACAGAAATGTATCATTCATTGGCGTCTAAAAAGGAGTCTACCATCATGTGATGATAACCAATTTCTTGTGACAGACTCATGGTCCATTAGAGGATTACCAGAATTAAATTCTTCACATATTTCTACTTGTTTAGGAGACATCAGCATAATGTGTTTTATGAGCTCTTTTCCAAATGCTCTACAGAAAGAGTTTTCAGGGCCTTTCAAAAATATAACCACCCTTTTAACTTTTTTCACATTTTGCCACCATACAGTCAATGGATCTTAATCTGATTTTGTCTTCTAGACCATGTGCTGATGTGCATGATGCTGCCCTGGTGGAGATGTTCTTTAGTGCCTTCACACATTAAATCTTATTCTCATCAGACCAGAGCACTTTTTCCCGTATTTTTAATATATCCCTAACGAGCCACCATTTGCTTAGACAAATTGAGTACACTGAGGTTTATTGTTAAAATGTCACAATATGTAAAAAAGGGAAATAGCCACTTATTTCCATTCCATTTACTAAGCTTAGACAGAAGAATATATAGATAGATTAAAGAATCTAAGCCTAAAACAGTGAGGGTGGGGTTTATTTATGAGCGATGGGCAGGGAGTTAACCAAAACAAAACCAGTCACTATTTGGTACGTAGCCATCTATACAGCTGTCTGCCAAGAATCAGATTTTGTTCATCAGACATCATGAAACAGATAAACATAAACGAAATGTTCTTTGCATCCCTTTTCTAAACGCCTTAATCCTTTCTGACATTCAGCATATTTTTCTTCCCCTGCTAATCGTCTGCCAAGAACAAATTTGGTGTCCTTACAGTCATGTTTGATTTAATTTAAGGCCAGAATAGCAGTTCCATAAATATGGAAGACCACACAGTGCAGCCAGACAAAACATCTCTCCCTAATATCACCTCTAAATACTGTTTATTTCTACCCCAGCAGCGATTTGGCTTTGAAAACAAATGTGGACAGGTGAGCGTTACATATTCTTCTTATTCGTTTCTCAAATTTTGGTACCCTTACCGAATAGTGCTTCTTTCGGGTCTTGTCCACACATTTTCCCTGCAGGCAGATGCGGCCCTTCCCGCACGGCGTTCCCTCCACTGCTGGAAGCTTCTTGGTTAGACAGACCATCTGTCCCTGGCGAATCACGGCGCACCAAAGGCGGGAACATACATCCATGCCTGGACAGACGGTGTACTCTGGCCCGAAGGCCAGGCGACACTGTCGGACAGCGTCATAGCTCTGGCCTGGAAGCTCTTCTGGCCCGAGAAGGGGCTGGCGAGGAGAGTCGAGGAGACACTCGGCTGTTGAGTCGTGGAAAAATCAACAATAAAGGAAAATTCTTGACTATTAATGACACACTTTAGTCTATTAAGTATAAGGCTACAGTATGTCATCCTATAAAATAAGGGGGAAAAGTTTTCAAGCTTTAAAATATCCATAGGGTGCCCAACAGATCTGTGCATGCATAATCTTAATAAACTGGTCCTGTAATTCTTTAGACTCTATAAAAGCCCTGCAGCTGCCGCAACAGATACTGCCAAGCCTGAAATTATAGTGTTGGTACATGAATTATGCCAAAGCCTTGGAACTGCATTGCAAAGTGTCAGCAGCATGCTTTACGGCTGTCATGAATGAAGGTGCTGGACAAAAGCATGAATCATTTTAATCTTTGTCTGCAATGCAGATACACTCTTTAACAAGGATTACAGGTTTGTAAATAAAGTCTACTTAATGACATTGTAACATTTCAAGCAGAAAATAGCTCTCAGCGATCCCTTTCATCAGTTAAATAAGCAGGAATGGAAAAAGGAAATACCTAAGAGAGCAGCTTCAGATAAATCAAACCAATGTTTTTGGAAAAAAAAAAAAAAACACGACGCAGTATTCATTTATCTTATGCATTTTCTTGACTTACCATTTCCATCATCAAAAAAGTCGGTGATGGTGGATGAGGTGCAGCGGCTCCAGGGTTTGGAGGCATCGATGGAGGTCAGAATGGAAGACATGAGCTGCTTTTGACTGTTGACCCCAAAACGGTCTTCGCAAAACTTCGAATCATCGTGGGACAATCCAAGAAGGTGACCTGAAACCCAGATAAAGCTTTTAGATTACGAGCAACGATATAATCCCGCTCCATGTGCACACTGACAAAACCCAAATCAAATCTTTGAGTATTCCTTTTTTTCCTCATCAAACTGCGCACCGTTTGGTTCCAGCAATGTGAGGAATGTCAGGACCTGTCTTCAACGCTCCATGCAGGAAGAATCCGAAAAGAAAACATAACTAAATGCTCTGTTTATGAGCTGCATGACATGATTTTAATCCACAAGAAGGATGTGCTGACAGAGGTGCATTTGCATGCCCCGGCGTGATCCTGCTTCGTCTCTGAGTTCATGCCTACCTATCTCGTGAGCGACAGTAAAGGCAGCGTGAAGGCCATCGTCCTCGATGACGGCGCAGCTTCTCTCCGGAGAGCAGATGGTGCCGACGTCCGCCATGCCCAGAGTGTCGCAGGAGTGGTGGCCGCATAGATCCTGGTCAAAAAAAATGATACGCTTCTAAATCATGGCCTGAAGGGCAAATAACAGAATATTTCAGAGCCGAAAAAGCTATAAATGTTATGTATGGATCAAAGAATTCATAGCAAACCTCTGTGTTATAAACTGAAAGCGAGTTCCATAAATTAATGATGATGTGTGGCATTAATCAGTGATACAGAAAAAGGACAGAGTGGACACTTTTACTAAAAAAGATCACCTCCACCGCTACAAAGAAAACAGCCTCTCTGTCGCCCTGGTTTATGAAATAACCAAAATGGGAAAGAAAAACTCAAACCTTAAGGATGTGGACCCAAGACAAATCATGCCATGGCTCTGATGAGCAAACAGGCAAGAGAAGGAGACGTTAGGTTTTATTTGTGAGCAATCAGATTAGGGGCTCTTACTTCTTCTAAGTACTCTGCTTATATCTGCAGAAAAGGGAAGGCGATTCCAGTTTCTGAGTGCTGGTATCCTGCAACTTTATTTCTTTGCTCCAACACACTTGAATCAACTAAATGATAAGAAGACTCTGGAAAAATTGTGTGCATACTGTGGCGGTATTTAAGCCACTTGATTCAGTTCTGTTGGAAAAAGAATGAATATAAAATTTGCAGGAAACTGGCACTCAGGAGCTGGAATTTATCACCCCTATATGCGCAATCCTTCCTCATGTGTAGAAAAGTGAGACTTAGATACAGTAGCCACCTGCAGGCTCTTTAATGTTCTGCTGACACAGGGGCAACAATGGTAAATAATCATCTAGGTATCTAAATGTTTTGGTTGGTGCCTTGTTAAAGGGACGGCATGCACCTATGAAAAATTAATGGCAGAAACACTGGGTGTTTTTAAACTGCTGGTTTGTTGGGTCTCCAAGGTACTAAATCTAAACAGATTTATTTCCTGCTTTGTGGGTAAATGACCATATAAATCTTTACTTTACAGGACTTTCCATTTCCTGCTCTTATATTATGGAGCCACTGTTTGAGACAATGTGCTCTTATGCAACTATAAGCTGATTTTCCCTATATATATATAGATTTCGGTGATTAAAACAAATAGGAATGTTGTAAACTAGAAGACTTAACATAATTTTTAAAAATGTCATATATGCCTATTAACCCCCAGTCACCTTATTTTTTCTAATAAACTGCATGCCTGACAAAGCGTACTTTACATTTAAGCACGCTTTGACTTTCTGTCACCTTTTTTTCCCTCTTCCTAATTAACATATTTAACCATTAAGTGCTGATGTAGTAGAGAGTGTTTTCATTCCTGTTTCAGTTGTATGCATTATCCAGAATCCCTTCGTCTGCCTTGAAGCAAGTATTGATCTTTGCTTTGATTCCCACACATGTCCATCTGGATGAGGCCTGCAGGCTCCGCAGCGTGGCCTCACTAAAAGCAGAGATCAATCTGCTAATCATACCACCAAATCGTAGATGGACGTCTGTACGAGGGAACAATTGAACATAAACGCACACACTCGTCCTGGGGAGAAGATGAATCGTCATGTTTGAGCGGTGATGACAGGCCCGCTGGGTCGTGTGTGTGAGGCTCTGTAGGGAGGGTGTTTACCCGTTCCGGTCCAATCGGTTTGGGACAAACTCCCTTGTGTTTTGCACTCTCACACATGACTGACTGGGTGGGACATAGAGACGCAGACACAGCCACTGTGATAACTGCATTTAAGTGGGAACATTTTTCCCCATACGGAGAGAATGCAAAAATGCTGAGGCTCACAACACATCCTCATTAAAGTGAACAGGAAGCTTCTGCCAGCTGACTGCTGGATACATAAGAAGCAAACAAAGGACTGATTCTTACTGCATGGATGGCTGCTGGGAGCGGAACAGAGCTGAAGTTTCTCTGGACTTGTCTGTGCGCAGACAGGCATGAAGGATGAAGAGAATTGCTGTACTTTGATTCAAAAGTTAGGGCTCTCCAGAGAAGTTTGACCGCTTTTCTTTTCCTGTTTCCCATACTCTCCTCTCGATATAGAATTTTTCTATTAAATTCATCCCCTGTCCGGTCCAGATCTTGCATGAGATCAGTTGAAGTGCACCTGGATATATGCTGCTAAAACAGTGTAAAAGGAAACATGCGGGCAAAAATTGGGGATCTCCTGCTAAATAGTGACATGCGAATAATACCTGAATTAACCTCAAACCACATGTCAGCTTGTTTAATACCCTCCTCTGCCAAGACTCGGCTGAGACTTGCATTTTTATCCCGAGGGCTCTGAAGGAAAGAAAAAAAAAAGAGAGAGGGCGGTAGGGAAATAAAAATAAGTTCAGGTATCAGCTGCCGGGGGGGAGGGAAGAGGATGGAGTAGTGCCGGAAATTAAGGCGAAGAACATAGAGAACAAGGGGTTACAGTAATATTGGCAGAAACAACAGGAGAACAGGTGGGACGCTAGCTTTCAAAGGTCAGGGCCTCCATTGCAGCTGTGCTTGTGTGTGTGAGGTATGAGACCACTTGAAATCTAACCCAGCGCTGGTGTTAAGCAAACAGAGCCAGACACACACACACACACACACACACACACAGACGTTCCTCTTGGAGAGAGTTTAGCTCACTAAAATCCACTGCCAGGTGATTCCAGCAAACCTAGTGAAAACACAGGCAGGTGGCAACAGGTGATCTAATCCTATTTTAATCTAATTTGGTCACATTTTAAATAAAAATCGATAGGATTCCTGAAAATAAAACCTAACAATATAATCATATCCTGTATGATTGGTAAGAGTGACTTTTAAAGAGAAGCAAACTAAACTCCAGCTGCCAGATTTCTCCATGTGGAACAGAACCTGGACAGGATCCTAAAAAAATCACTCGTAAACACACAGCTGCTCTTAGGCTCGAAAAATCTAAATTTCTTCTACATTTTCAAACATATAACGTCATTTTGAGTGATATTATCTAAATCTGACCAAAAACAATGAAAAAAAAAGTGTATCCTCAGTGTGTTATGCTAAACAGGGCAGGTATACCATATTAAATATTAAGGAACATTTGAAAATTTGTTTTTATTTCCAGGATTTTCCATCATGCACATTATTAAGCTTTAAAACAGTATAGTTTAGTATGCTTAACATTTTTTGGAAGGAAAAAAAAACCTAATTTAGGTCTTTTAAGCAAATTAAAATCGAGGGTGACCCGGATGTATATCTGGATGCACAAATGAGCTTCTGGGACGAATCGGGTATTGACAAGCAGTTCCAAATCATAATAGGTAAAATTCCCCATGTATATTTAAAATGGAAATGCGAAAGTATTTAGCTCCATTAAAGTTTTCTTGAGAAAATGTTTTTGTTAAACACTTGAGGCAGATAGACAGAGGTGATATTTTTGACCATATTCCAATACTCGCCCTTGTGTCCCTCAGTTCCTTGTTCCTATTGATGTTTTTCAGGGTATAGCATGTCCAGATTGTCTTGATTGGTCTTTCATCCCACCCTCTTTGTCCTCTCGCTCCACATTTCGGCTAAGTGCTCTTCTAATTGGACTTTGTTGAAGAATACTTCTTGGTAATGGTGATGAATAAATGTGTTTGTAGGTGTAAATATACACAATAATTTGTCTTTTACCATACTTAACTCGTGTTAATACAAATCAGTTGTGTCTTGCAGTTTTAAAATCCATTCCTTAGCACTAAGATGACACAAACAGCATCGGGTCCTGCTATTGTTGATGTTGCCATTGTGATGCAGAGGCATGGGGTCAAATATGCAGGTCTGTAACCTGCACATTCAAACCCTTAGTTATAAATCTATGAAGAACCCACCCTAGAGAGGGTTGTAGGGTGTAGTGATGTTGGGACTGAGTCAATGGCGTAACGAAACAACAATAGGCCCGTAAGCAGCATTATCTGGGTGGGCCCCATATGAACTACAACACCCCATTCCCACCATTGGGAATTTATTTCCGTTCTTCCAGCATCTCTTCTCTCTTTTTTCTTTTCTGGAATCCGCTTAGGTACCTCTTTTTGGTATCCATCGTCGCTAACACATTGTACGTAACGGTTATGGTTTTAATCTACGCTCTTGATTACCCATAATTCCAAGTCGTAGTGTAAAAAATAAAATACTAAAATACATCGTTCTTTTAAGATCTTTATTGCGTTTGAAACATATTACATGAGTGTATTTTTTACCAACCGTCTAATGAACTATACACAGTTATTAACATAGTAATTAAAAGTACCACTGTCTGCTTTGCTGTTGGTGTCGTGTTTAAACGGCTCACCATCATGTTGAAATCTGCCATGTGTTGGGGTATAAATATGGTCCGGTCAGTCAATTTAGTATCAGGTGGGTATAGTAGGAATTTTTCGCACCATTACATCTGCAAAGAGATGTCCTACTCTACAATTGCATTGGGGGCCAACAAGATGTCAGTGAAGGGGCCCCTAAGCAACTACAGTCTCTGCTTACCGATATTTATGCCACTTATTGGTGTCTTTTCTTTAAGGGGTGGGGGTGTTTTTCAGTCATACTTAAGGATTTAAGTTGAATGCCCTTACCTTCTTATGTAATCATGACTCTTCATTAACTGGATCACTTTAATACCACAGAATTAATTCAATTCACTTCAGTTTATCTCATCTCAAGGCATTTCACTGTGATACTTCAACCAGGTTAAAAGTTTTCTAAGGAAAACCAGCTGATTGCATCGACTCATTCACTCAAAAGCAATTCCTCACACCAAATATGCTTGTAGCGACAGTAGAGAGTAAAACTCCCTTTTAACAGAAATCAACCTCCAGCAGGACCAGGCTCAGTGTGAGCAGCCAAATTAGTCCGTGTAGCTAAATATTTATTTTTCTTTCTTTGTTTGGACTTTTGCCAAAAGTTGGCGAGGTTCAAAAAGGTAATTTTCAACCTTGATCCTGTACAGAAGTGGACAATATCTCACTACTTGTTGCTTTAAGACAAATCATGACCCCTCGCCAGATGCATAATGTCAACACCCAAAAAGCCAAGGTTGTGGCTTTGGGATCAAGGAGCCGTCTGCATGTTGTCAGTAAATGCAAGAAGAAGTAATGCTTGTGGGAAATATCAGAATCATTTGAAAACAAGGGGCCGTCTGTGATGCAAGTAAAGCCTGGGAAATGTACCCTCCATCGCACAGAGGTGACTTTAAATTAGCTTTGTGGAAGAGTAAGACATTGGGTATATTACTTTTTTTTGTTGTTGCTTGTACAGAATAAACAGGACATCTCTAAATATGAAAAGCTAAACTACAGAGACCTGCAAGAGGTGTTTGATCATAGTCTTGTAAAGTATTAAAAAATGAAAAAAATCACTACATCCAATCTGATTGAGCTTCATCTATTTTGCAAAGTGGAATAGACAGAATGATGGTCTCTGAATCACAAAGTAAATCCTAATAAAATAAAGAAATCTACAATAATACATTAGGCTTTGTAGCTGCAACAAGACACAATGTTAAAAGTTCAAGTGGTTTGAATAATTCTGTTGAGATGTGGGTATTAAAGTAAGGCTTTGTTTGCCATCCAAACTCACAGAAACACAACCATGTGCAACATTTAACATTTTCACATACACAGAAACTCTAGCTGTTATGTCCCCAGTCCCTTCAATGCACTCGTTGTCTTGTTTCGGTGCCGACATGTGTGGAACTGAGTGACATTGTCATATAGGTCAGCTTTCTGGGAGGACCGGGTCTTGGAGTAATTAGACCCAACCACGAGGAGGTGTGCTCACTTCAACTCTGTGCCACTTGTGGCCCACCATGTGGGAACAAAAGACGTTTCTGACTTTACAATCAGTGTAAGATCCACTTCAGAGCACAAATAGAGCCAATTTTTAAAGCTGGTGGACATAAATAGCTACAAGAACTTTTCACAACTCTTGTTTTATACCTTCAACATGCAGATGACCTGAGTTTAAACTGACATTTCCTGTTTCAGAGTTTATTTTCCACTGAAAAACCTTAACACACATTCTTATTTTTAAATGTATAACACTTGAAGTATTTTCCAACTCAAATGCAGAAAAACAGGAAGGGAATTATGTTTTTTTTTCTCCTTCTACTGGCATTCTGTCAGTGGAAACACTAATGGTCCTAAACAGTTTGTACCGCTCCAAACATCTACGGATCTCTCCAACCCTTGCAAAAAAAATCTAAATGTGGTGTGGTAACTTGTTCAAGTGTGGTTCTTTAGAAAAATGTGGCTTAAATGGAGGGATTTTATTACTTTCCCCAAACAGTTTGATACCCATACACAAATAGGAGTGGAAACAAATCACAGCAGACAGGAGAATCCCAAAGGAATGCAGCCTTTAAATTACGCTTTCACTTATTCTTCAGGAGCTGCTTGGTGTGTTTTAAAAAGTGCCCCTCTGCTTGTTGACATGGTTGACAAAGTAATCCGGATAATAGCCATTAACCGCCAGAGAGTTTAAAGGTTAACGTGGGTTTGCCTCAAAGGTGGAACACTAAGTGTTTCTTCTACAAGATGACCGGATTTAGAGGCAGTTTCTTTCCTGGGGGATTTCAACATATATAAACAGACCAACTACTTTAAATCATTACTGAGGTTTTCCTGCAGATTTCTTGTCTGCAATGCTAATCTCCGGTACGTCCAAAAAAAGCGTGCTCTTTGGCGGAGATCTGGTGAGTTCATCTCAGTACTGCGGTACTCATCATCATGTTCAAGGAGACATTGAATTATTTGAACTGGCAGGTACATTTAGAAATGCCAGAGTAAGCATTGGTGTTTTTTTTTGCAAGATCAAGGATAGTACGAAGGAAAAATATTACAGTTTGCTGCCTGTCATAGTTTATGAGGGTTTCCTGTCTGCTTTAATCCTCTCTTGGTGTCTGGACAGCGTGCCCTACCAAAACAAAGCATCTGAGGATTCAACCCCTCTCTCCTTTGGCTCTTTTGGTAACCCCGATGCAGGTGTAGTGGCAACAGGCTTACTGAGTAACCACAGGTTCTTTGGCATGCAGAAACTGTGCCACGCTGCCAGCCAGCTGACCTCTGGTATTCACAACCAGCTTCCTTGCCAAGGCACGGTTGTGACAGCTAGGCATGAGTGCAGGAACCAAGGCAATACATTCTTTTGCCCCATGGCAAGACTTTGCATGGCCTAAACACACCACACTCCAAGGCAGGCATTAAACCAGAGGTAACCACAATGAAGCCACACCCGTAGAGGTGAAGAATGCATGCAGATATGCTGCTGCCCTGCGGCTTCGGACCTGGCAGTTAAATGGAGGCTGGAGGGAGGAGGGAAGTGAAAGGGATGGTGAAAGAAAGGGTTAGGCGAGTGTCGTCTCCATGATCCTACGGCCTGGAAGAGGGAGGATGTGTTTGTTTTTCTGATATCCCCTCCAGTCTATAACTCTAGTGCTCGGCTGACAGACACTGGAAAAGCATCAAGGAAAATATGTACAAACCAGAGTGATGAGAGACAGAATTAAGTAGATGGGAGGTGAGTAATGAGGAGAAAAAGCAATCAAAGTTGAGAGGAGAAGTTGGAGGTATGCAACCAGCAGCTGATCCTAAAAGAATCTCCTTTCCAAGGAGGAATGTGTGGCGGCAGCGTGCACACGCCTTAGATCACGCATACTCTGAGGCTGTCAGGGGACTGGGAGGGGGAGGATGGAGACAGAGGAGCTCGCCTAGAAAAACACCAGACGCAGGAAATAGTGTTTTTTAAGGCTGTTTTCAGCGTTACACATGCACGATTCAGCAAAAAGGAGATAAATCACAACGTTATGTTTTCATTTTACATCTATCATAATATAATAAAAGTTAATGCTGACTTTTATATTGTTTCAACATTTTATAATCTTAATGTTTCTGTATTGCAGTAACAAAGATGAATTCACTCTTAGGATGGCTAATGAAACCCACTTCCGACTAATTAACAGCAACAACTCCGCCTCCTGGCTTTGATGGATAAATCCATGACATGCAGTTAGTTATAGCTTCTTGTAAGATAATCTTGATTAAATTTACAATGTTTGCTACTAGGAAAATAACAGTGAAAGTCACTTTGATTTCAAAACAGGGGCAACAATTTAAACTGCAGTTGAAAAAAAACAATTAATACAGATACATCCAATGTGAGCAATTAGCAATGTGAAGAGAATAGGGTTGGATCTACTCCTATTTGCGAGACTTTCAACTGTAATTTAATATGATGCTGCACTTTATGGAATGGAAATGTTCATTTAATGTCTGGAAAGCCTTACTAAACGAAATGTTGCTTTGTAAACACACTTTGTATGGGTCACATCATATGATAATGGGCACACTATCCAAATAAAAACAAACTAATGTTGCTTCATGTCCTGCAATAAAACTTCTCTTTGTGTGAAATAGTCATGCAAATCATTGCTTCTGCAGGAGAGTGGATTGTAAAAGGCTATGCATTTAAATAAAATCAAATAAATAAAAAAGTGCATGCATTATCCTCTACAGAGACATGTATTTCTTAGAATGCGAAATAGTCCACATTTTAAACGGTGAAATGCATTTATGATATAGGGCATGCCATTTGTTTCTAATCTGGTTAGTTTTTATTTTTTTTTCTAATGTTTTGGAATTGTTTTAAGTGTATTTTTTTTATTGAGTTACAGCCAATCAGCTGCATGGCAAACGATGACGTCAACCACATTTTTTCCCCCCAAGGTGCGCAAAGTCTGTGGAGCAAACAGGTGCCCCCGTTGCGTAAAAGTGCGCGGGAGGAGTTAGTTTACCTGCCTGGTGAAGAGGATGGCAGCGTCGTGGTGATGCTGGTGGTCATCATCCAACGGGTTCTGCTGGTTCTGCCACTTGCAGAAGCTCTTCAACGTCGCCGCCGCGTTCTTGGACACCTCCAGCCCCTTCTCCTTCTCCGTGACCGTGATCACCTTCACCACGGACAGCCGGATGGGGTTCTCTATGCTGGCATGGCCGTACAGCTTGGACGCGATGGAGGCCAGTGTGAGCAAATAGTGGTTCAAGTCCCTGCCGTACTTCTTGGTCATGGTGTCGTCCGCCACCAGGAGCAGCTCCACGTGCCTGGCGCGGGATACTGACCTCTTGGGTCGCGCGCCGGGCTCTTTGACGCGGAGGCTCCACCACCTCCTCCCTCGTGCGTCGCTTCCATCCTCTCCACCCTTTCTTCCAGCTCGGGATCGCCGTCTCCCTGCCGCGTCTCTGCGCCCTCGCTTCCCGTCGCGCGTGCCGCAGCTCTCGCGCCCCTCGCTCAGAGCCTGGAAGCTGAAGCTTTCACGCGTGAACACATGGAGCGCGCTCTCCGCATCCCGGTCGTGCAGGGTGCGCAGGTCGCGCTCATGTCCCTTCGCGCGAACGATTGGAGTGATGGTGTAGCGCGAGTTGTTGACGGCGAAGAAGCCCTCCAGACCTCCTCCGCAGAGGCTGAAGACAGCCAGGGACTCCGGGATGGAGTTGACCGTCCCGCGGTACGCGCATTCCCGCTGCAGAGGCGCGGGGCTCTGTCCCATCATCGCGGACACATACTGCGGGCTGAAGTGATGCGACAGCACCGACGCATCCCGCTCCATGTCCAGCTGGAAGCGCTTTCCATCCAGGTACACGAGGTAGCCCACCTTTCCTCCACCGTTGTAAATCCGATCGATGGTCCTCACCACCCCGTCCGTCATCCGTGCAGGTGCGAGCAGCGAGCCGCTTGCAGGTGGAAGATAAAACCCCTGGAAGGTCGACTCTCCGGATCCAAACTCCACGACGCACAGCAGTAGAAGCTGGAGCCGAAACCAGAGCATGCTCCCGGTCAGAGCGCCAAGAACCTGCAGCATTGTTCACTCCAACCAGAAAAAGATCATATAGATCTCCTCTAAAACATCCCCGGCGTGGAAGAAGGAGACAACTTTAGGTGTTTTTTGTCGCCCGTGCGTAAAAGCGCATCCTCTCCGTGTCCGGATTCCCCCCCTCCCCGTGCACAAGGCACACAGCAGTGACCAAACAGATGAGAAAACAAAACCATTGAGAGAGAAGTAGGAAAAAAAAATAAAAGGGAGGAAATGGAGCAGGAGAGAATAACTCTTCGCAGCCTGGAAGAGGACTGAGCTGAACTTGGCTGAACAAAAACACAAAGTTTGCTCTTAATAGGACCCAGAGAGAAAAAGTCCTGCCCCCTTTGCGCTCAATCACCACTCCCCCCCCTCTTCCCTCTGCCTCCCTCTCCCTTTCTTCTTCAAATCAGAGTAAATTTAAGTAGTGGAGGAGAGAAATCAGAAAAATGGCTCCTGTGGTGCCATTGTCTGCAAAAAAACATCAAAATCCCAATTTTTTGCCTTTCAATGAAAATATAAACCGTCAACAATGGGATCAGCATTGGCCTTAATTTCCTTTCACACTTTAATTCAACTCCACAATTTCAACAAATTAAAAAAATCAAGTATGGTTATTTACAGAGAAAGCCAGAGACTTCACTGTGGAAATATGTCAATAAAGGTGCTGCTTGAGTCCAGCAAGGGGGAGAAAATGACTGCAGGTGTATGTCTGGGTCTGGAGCCTTCCTGATTATTTATTGGAGTTTCCTCCCCCCTGCTACCTCTGTGGGATGTTGTTCAAAAGTTTGCCGGTGCTGTCAGACAAACAGCCTCCCAGAGGGCTGCTGGCATGGAAGCAGTGTTTTTAAAAGTTCTATTCATAGTTGCTGAGTCACCTTAAGAATTTGTTGTTTTTTTTAATTCTTTTTGGTGTGCTCTCCTAGGATGGCTGTCATCTGTGGATTCGGAGTTTCCATCCAGCTATTAACTTTTTTTTTAAGTCACATATGTGATTTGGTGAGGTCAGAGGTAGAGAAGGGAATAGGCATCCATCTACTAATAGGATTTCCTAAAAGTGCATTCACGAGTCTACGGAAACCGCGGCAGACCGCGTTTTTTGTGGACTTTTATGGACCTTTCTGCCTCGGGCACCATAGACCTCCATTATTTGAATGTCAGCAGACAGCATGAAGCCTCCCAGATCTCCAGATGCATTTGAGATATCAAAAAAGTACTCCAGGGTGTTGTTCAGCATGGGGGTGAGTAGAAAATGAAGGCTAATCATGTTTTGGGTGTACTATTCCTTTAAGGTAACGTTTAAAAACTAGTGTAAGGGAATGTATTTTTGTTTTAAATGTTGAAACCTTTTTTTTTCTTTTGCATCTGCAGACCAATGCAGCACCAGCCTTTAATACAGAGCCCTGTTGATCAGTTGACAGTGCAGAATATGAGAATCTGATATCGTATTTCTAATTTCCTACATCAACGGTTAGAAGTGAAAGTCGCATTTTAAGCTGTCACTTTTCCATTTAAGCTGCTAATCTCAAACATTTGGGATGGCTTACCGGGAGCGTGGGCAGTGAGAAAAGTCTCGGTTCACTTTGATCCACAAATAACACAAAGCTTTTTTTTTTCCACCAAAAAGCCAAGGAAGAGACTTCATTTGATCAGGTTTCTCTCAGAATAAAATGAAAAATAATGGGAAGGAGTCAAATGAGAGCTCATGACCCCATGATATGAAATCCTCGCCCCTCCCTGCTCTTCTTCACCTGATGACAGACGCTGAGACAGATCCTGTATCAAGTTGGACTTGGTGCCCATATCACCCTCCTGTTATGCAATGCCCCCCCCCTCACATACTGCTTCTTTTACACCAAACTGCCAAATGAACGCCCGAGGCTAAGAGACGCCCGTAAGTTCAGGAGAGGTCTTGGACCTCTGGAAAGGGAGCAGGGTCTGCTTTTTTTTTATCGTATTTTTTTCAAAACGATGCAGCTGCAAGCTAAGTGGCATCAAGCCTAAGCTGAAATTAACGATCCCAGAGCATCTTTTCAAAGCTCTACTTTGGCTCTCTCTCTCTGCTTCTCTCCTCTATGAATCTCACACACTCAGCCTCATTGGATGTTTTTTTTTTTTTTAATCCCTCCTCCATCATCTGAAAGAGGGATACATCCATGCCAAAGCATCCATATGGACGTTAACCGCCCACACAACATCACACAGTAACCCGGCTCACACGTGGGAAGCAGGCTGCACTATGATGTTTTGCAAACCAAAACAAGTTGGGTGTGTGAACGGCGCGTGCCGAGCCACGTGCGCAAAGGGAACGGCCCACTTCCTGCGGCTACTGAGCGGAGAGGGAATCCAAAACGCCTAATTGACAGGCCGTGCCGTTTATATAACCACAGGGTTCTGTCGTCTCTTGTCTCCATGACGCCCCCCCTCTGCATCCTCTGCCCACACATATTCCCTCTGCATCCCAACGTTGGCGCCTAAATGACCAATTCCCATCAGGATGAAGAGTCTTTCCACTCAAATGACAGGCATGCTTCCAGCATCTTTCACATCTGTCGCCGTAGTGACGTGATGACTGGACCACAAGCATGCGATGTGCTTGTCGACACCTGCACGCGCACTTCCACTCAGTTTCACACACATCTGGAAATAAACAGTCAGCATGAAGCTTATTTTTCTCCAGAACGAGTACATATATTGACTCAGAAGTGAAAATAAGAGGAGGCACATGTACACAGCTGTAAACAGATGATAACAAGTAGATGAGTCGATGCAAAAACTTAAGTACTTCAAAGAAACTCGGTCAGGAAGACGCCATCCTCCAGGTTTGCTTACAGGACCGCTTACATGTATATGACATCACACCCGCTCATGAAATACTTCACTGCCATCCGATTTTAAAGATCTACACCAGCGATCCCAGCATACAGTACATTTTGTCCCGGACTTACAGAGCAGGAAGCTGATCTGGAGACCCAGAATGAATTATTAAAGCACATCTGATGGAGTAAACTTGCACACATTTAGAAGAGAACAACAAAAAAGAAAGGAAAACCTTCAGAGTTTGCTGTATCAGCACGCACATAAGAGTACAGCACAAAAATAAGAAATAGTTTCAGTAATTCTTCAAGTTTACATTTTCATTCGTTTCCCATTAGGTTGTTGTCAAAAGTTGACAGACAACTGCTATATTTTCAGGTTTCTCTCATTTCTAAACATTTCCACATACAGTGTACCTTATATCCAGAAAAATACAAGAAAAAAATAAATAACTAAAAGCTGCATTGATTTGTACTTTCCTTTATAACGTTTGATTCATTTTAAGCTTTTATTTTCTAGTCTTCCATACTCAGGTGTTTTAAGGATTTTCCTGCATCCATTGGCTAAAAGTAGTTTACAGAAATCTCACATCAGTACAGAGGAATTTCAGTGTACAAATACATGAATTAGAAGATGTAAATCAATAAAAATCTGCTATCTCTTCAAAAGCTAGATTCTTTCTAATGCTGACATAATGCCAAATTTGATGTTTTAGACACGACTCAAAGATTAAGGTTAACAATAAAAACAACAGCACATCACAAACATTAAAACACGGTTGTGCCAGCATCATGCTCTAGGGTTACCTTTGGTGGATGAAATTATGAATGGTTTTAAGTAGCAGGAAAATCGTGATGGATTAGATGTTTATAAAAAAGGAACTGAGAGCAAAAACTGAATCAAAGGTTCTTTAACAAACTAATGATACTTTAAAATTGTTTAAAGCTTTTCTACCCAATCAGCTTGTTTTTCAGTTCAATTATACAGGATACATGTGAAGTTCTAATAATGTTGTCAAAGAAGTTACTTTAACAGGGATATATTAACATTTGAGAGCCAATTGATATCCATAAATAGTCATTCATAACCTGCATATCGCTTAAAGATGTGTTTGTTGATAGAAAGTGAATTTTTTTTGTTTAATACAGTGAAAAAAAAGCCTTAGTCGTGAGTTATGACTTAAAGAACACAATGCTGACATCTTTTGGTCTCAGTGGTTTAAATACATTTTTATTTATATGCATAGCTAATGCTATCCACCTCTGATTGGGTGATTAGTCCTTGATGACTCCTCTTCAGAAAACGTGCTGCACATGAGCTGAGAGGAAAGTTATTTTTAAAAAGATTTAGAAGAATTGAAAATTAGAAATTAAGTTTTCTTTCAATTCATTTATCTCTGCAGAATATTTATTGTTTTTTCACATATTTCAAGTATATAATTCTTAAATTAACCACAGGATAGTAAAAATATTCCTTCTTTAAATTTGGGCTAATATTTAAAGGCTTGTTAAAGTCTGGAACTTCCCTCCACCCTCCCCTTCCCCTTCCCCCTACTGCATAATACAGGTAAACCTCTTTAAAGACAAAAACAAGAAAAACAGTCACAAAAAGATAACTTAAAAAATTTGGTGCATATGCTAGAAAAAAATAGTGGAGTTCTTTTTTTTTGTTCTATAAAGCAGCAGCTGTATTTTCAAACTATTTAAACAAGGGTTGCAGAAGGCATAAAACACCATAACAAATAAATTGATTTTGGCGTTTCATCTTTTCATCTCTAAAGCTTGACATATTTTTAACTTTAAATGTTATTTTCAACTTACCAATAAACAGGAAAGAATCTTTTCATCTCTTGTTCAATTATATATGAGTATGACTTTGTCTCCCAGCTTATAGTTTCTGTTTAATATTGCTTTTAATAGTTTAAACAAAAGTATTGAAATTTATACTCTGGAACTACCAACGTATAAACTGCTGTTCTAAAGAAATACTGTGATGCAGACTCAAACTAAAGCACATGTCAGTCAAATCTGTCACTATGGCTACGTTCACCCTGCAGGCCTTGATGCACAGTTTGATTTTTTTTGCATTGCTGTTCACATGTCCAAATATATGCGACTTGTATGTGATCTCCTGTTTGTGTCCCGCATGCGCAGTAGAGGACGCAATGACGTCACAAGCGAGCGTGGTCTGTGTTTACGGAAGTAAACATGGATGGTAGTGCTGGAGAACATCTAGGGATCTTTCCAAACCTTAAAGCCTTAATCTTTCCAAGATTGTTAAACATAAATACTACTCTTCGCAACATCGTCCACCATTGTTGTTGTTTTTCTTGCCACTTCTGTGTAGCAAGAAGCAGAAGAGCGACCACTGTCGGGTATTAATGACGTTCAGGTTGGATGAATGCGACCTGGTCACATTTAAAGATCAGATTCGTATCAGATTCAGGACCACATAGCCAACTGGCCTGGGTCACTGTAGTGTTTTCAACCTCGAAGATGTTGGTGACACCGAGTTAAACCGCTAATGAAGACCCAGGTGCNGTTGTTCAGACTGTCATAAAAAGATCAGATCCAGTTCGCATGTGGGCAAAAAAACTCGAATTTGGGTCACTTCAGGCTGCAGAGTGAACGTAGCCTATGAATGAGTTCACAACAGCTTATTTTAAGTGCTTTGGAGCAACAGTGCTATTCAACTGGAGCATCAACATGGTCTGGATGCTAAACGTAATACCAGTGTCACGCCTTGATGATTTAGACAGCTTATGCCTGACGTATGGAAAATCTGGCAAAAACGCTGGCATACCTTGGATAAGTTACGGGTAAGTTTTGCATGAGTTATGAGCACACTGAAACACGCTGGCACAAGTCAACATAAGGCAAGTACGTCATGCATGGGCCATAAGTTACAGGTAAGTTGTTTGATCGTTGACATACGATAAGTGTAAGTTACTCATAAGTCGTCGTTACCCTTCTGCAAAACTTATGCGTAACTTATCAAGAACTAATCTAAAACGTATTTGAAGTGTTCCACTTATTTGATGTGTAGCAGACATGGCGCTTAATCTGTTACGACTGCAAACTTTTCTTTATTTTTCTTTCTATTCATTCTTTTTTATTTTTGGTAAACAGGAGCTACGTTAATATTGCGATCAAAGAACTATTTTTATGCAGGTTGGGTGCCTCCGGGTGCATCGCTGCCCCCTCAGGACATGGGCTTGTGACATTTTATGGGCATTACGCTGCAGTGCATCATGCATAAGTTAGGCCATGTCATAGGACAAGTTCTGGACTTGTTATGAATAGTAAACGCCCAAAATTGAAGACATACATAGAAAGTTCAGCGTATGGCAGTGTTTTAGAAGATTCTGGGACGTCAGGCATACGCTGTCTCAATCGCCAAGGTGAGACAGGGCCCTAAGTGATACTCCACATTAATCATTCGACCTCACATGTCTGACTCATGGAGTCATTTCAGCAGACATGCTAACACACTGAGTCTCTCATAGAGAGTATAGCTGTAGCTGAGGACTGTGTGCTGGTGCCAAACAAAAGGAACGTCAGTAGAGGGGTTGCGGTTATACATGGTCCTCAAGTACAGTGACTAAACTGTAACATAAAAAAAAAGCTATGACAGAGAGAAAGAGATATAAAAATGGGTAAGATCCAGGAGTTTGTGCTGTTTTTTTGTTTTCCTATGGTAAAAACCAAATACGCTGCCCAGGAACAAGAACAGGAGCTAACCAAACTCGACTCCTCTCTAACGAAGTGATGCAGAGTAAAACTGTTCTCAGTGCATTATTTTGTAGCGATGTTTTCTCCTTATGTATAAACATTGAAGGCATATGTTTGAAGTCTTTTTTTTTTGGTGAATAATAACATTTCCCTAATGGATATCCAGTCTCTTCTGTTGGGATCAGCCTTAAACTCTACTGTTCTGTTCAGCAAACCTGATGGGCTGAGCAGCATACATTATGTTCATTATTGTCATGTCTTCTTTTCCTGGAGGAGTTCTAGGATTTGTTCTTTTGGCTTCCCGTTGAGAGGCAGCACAGGACTGTAGGTTAATGCTGAGCCGTTGGTGGAGAGGTGCTGGAAGCCCGTAGAGGACTTTTCAGCAGGGCTGCAAAGGCGATGGAAGCGCTAAGGAGTACAAAAAAAATCCATTAGAAAAATAGATTCTCATCTTTTCAGTAGGGTTTTTATTTTATCATCACAGTGTGTTGAAAACTACCTGGGGAAGGGTTCCAGGAGTGGTGAGGAGAGCATAGACAGCCCAGATGGGGAGCAGGGAAACGGACGAAAGGGTCAGAATCCAGCCCAGGGTGGTGGCCCAGACTGGGGCGACGAGGCCTTTCCCCAGGCTGAGCGGAGACCAACACACCAAGGAGAAAATAAAGGTTGCCTAAAACAAGACAGAGAACGACATATTCATGCAAAGTCGGCATCAATAATCCTAAACGGCTAATTTGGCTAGAAACATTGTTCCCACCATGAATACTTGCTTCCAGATGGGAAGATGTATTGATTAACAGCTGCCCTTAAGTAAATACACATCTCCAAGAATCTTCCCATCTGGTGCACAACCAAAAAGTATTCAACCAGTGTGAATATATTTTTTCTTTCTGAGCTAATGTTTCTCCCACAACATAAACCAGCATAGTTACATGCTAAGCTACAGCTAACTGATGAGAAAAACCAAGGGTGACCAGATGTCCCAGATTTCCAGGGGTAGTCCCCAATTTATACAACCTGTCCTCGGCTAAACCTGTTTTATGAATGATGGGGGGAAATGTTGCATGCAGACTGTTAATACGGTAAAAGAAAAAAGCTTGTGAGCATGTTGCGGGCAGGAAAAACTGTTACAGTAGCATTTTGTTAACATAAAGATGATTAAAAAAGCACACCGCTTGTTCAACTGTAATGATCCTTATGGATCTCAGCTGCCATTAAAACACAAAGAAGAAAAAGAGCACACCACTTTGGATACGTAAACACCGCAGCCTGAAGTGACCCAAATCCGATTTTTTTGCCCATACGCGACCTGGATCTGATCTTTTCATGACAGTCTGAACAACACAGATCCGATTTTTTCCAATGCGACCCAGGCCACTTGGCTATGTGGTCCTGAATCCGATACGAATCTGATCTTTTCAAATGTCTGAACGGCCAGGTCGCATTCACCCGACCTGAATGTCATTAATACCCCACAGTGGTCACTCTTCTGCTTCTTGCGTCACAGAAGTGGCAAGAAAAACAACAACAATGATGGACGATGATGCAGAGAGTAGTATTTATGTTTAACCATCTTGGAAAGATTGAGGTTTTAAGGTTTGGAAAGATCGGTAGATGCACTCCAGCACTACATCCACGTTTACTTCCGTAAACACGAAGCATTCTGGCTTGTGACGTCATTGCATCCTCTACTGCGCATGCGGGACACATAAGCTATATGAATGCAGTTCACACATGAGATCGCATACAAGTCGCATATATTTGGAAATATAATTTTATTGTGAAATCCAATAAAAAATTGGATTTAACAAAAAAATCAGAATTGAGCATTAAGGCCTGCAGTGTGAACGTAGCCTTTCACAAAGAAGTGAAAGTGGAAGTTCGTTACGGCACAATTGATAGGAAGCTGCCCTGTGTTATGATGAGTGTGTTAGTTGATTAATTTTATTTGGATAGAGCTGATCCTGTGATAAATGTTTGCTTAATGTCCAGTTTAAAATATATATATATATATATATATAAAAAAAGAAGTAGGACAAGACCACGATTTACTGCTGGTATGAGTAAAATAATCTCACTGCAAAAAACTATCTGAAAATTTGTAAAATATTTGAGCAAGTAAATAAGATGATCTGCCAATGGAATGAGTATTTTTACTCTTAAAATAAGATAATTAGATAATATACATTTTAAATAAGACAATGTGATTGTTTTTTCTTATTTTAAATGTAAATTGTCTTATTCCATTGGCAAAGTGTCTCACTTACTGTACCTCCATAATTCAAGAAAAAATTCACTTATTTTAAGTGATCTTGTACTGCAGTTGGAAAATAAGATCACGTTCCTTCCCAAGATAACATCCAACCACAGATGGATTCCTTATTTGGGATGCAGAGCAGCGCTACTATTCAGCGACTTCCAGGACAACAGACGGCAGCAGTCAGGCAGGATCTTTTAAATTTAACAAAGCTGCACCCAACTACCTTGAATAATATCTTTTCTGACAGCTACTATAACGTTGTGAGCTTGACAATCTTCTGTGATGCAGCGGCGGCGTTCCATGGAAGGAAACTTGGGAAGTTGAGAAGTGTCAACCTAGCTTTAGGGAGGAAGTCTGCATATTTTGTCTAAACTTTTCTAGACTTTAATTTCTTCCTCAATCATTTGATCCCAGATTAAGAATAAACCCTAAAAGTCAGGATGAATCTATGGCAGGTAAAGTGGTCAGGCTTTTAATGCAGAAACTGGGAAAATGGATATTTCTATTGATGGATGAATCAATGGATGGATATTGGATGGAAATATGGATAAATTAATAATGAATGGATGTTAGAAAGGACAATAATTAGATGCAGATACACACAGATGGATTTACATTTTACATCATTTAAAGAGAATACATTCTGGACCTAAAAGTACACACAATTTCTTTCATTTTCAGAATTTTCCAGGCTGGAAATGTCTAAAACCAAAAGCTAGAATTTCTATTTTCCATCAAAACAGATCAACCACATGATTGCTGTTCCCTAACTGTTTTCTGGCCTCCTCATCACCCTTGCTCCCCTTCCCTTCCACAATGAAGTCCAAATATTTTGGTAATCATATAAGGTATTCAGTCTGACTGATAGACGTGGGGTGAATCTTTCATGTGTACCACTTCACAGCGAGGCGACGCGGTCCAGTTTGAAAGCAGACAGATGTTACTCACAGTGCACACAGCAGGAGTCAGATACTTCCAGCACAGCTTGAAGGCAGAAATGGGGGTGTAGCCCGTCATATCTTTGATGTTGGCACTGAATCGATCGGCTCCTTGACAAAAAAAAAAAAAAAAAAAAAAAAAAAAAAAAAAAAAAAAAAAAAAAAAAAAAAAAAAAACGTTAAAAAAAAAGTTAGTTTTGACTTAAAAAGTTCTGTGAAAAATATTTAGCACTGTATAGATTTATAACATCAATTTGGGCTAGTTCACTCCCTCAAGAGTGGAGTTAAGAAACCATCCAATCAGAACCTGTTTGACCACATAAATTAGACTAAGCCATCAAGCTTAAAAGATATTTTACAATTGTAAAAATAGTTATGATGTTTAGGTTCATGTCTGCGGGACTCCAGTGAACCACAGTGAGAGTTTCTGTCCAGAAGAGGAAAAAACACAGAACAGTGTATTGGGCTAACAGAAATTACTCCAAGACGGCGACATCGACTAATCCAAGAGGTAAAAGAAACTAAAATGACATCTAAAGTACTTGAGGCTTAATTTGCCTCGGCTAGAGTCTGTTTTACAGATTCAGAGAGAAACAGGCTGGAAAAAATGGCTCAAAAGTTTCAAAAACAAACAAAAAAATGACTGTAAAGACCATTCTCATTTGATCCACTGTGGAAATACCATTCAGCTGTAATCATTAGTACCAGCAACTTCAGCTCAGTCATGCTTGTGTTATTTAACAGCCTGATGAATAAAAAAAAAAATTAAAAAAAAGTCTACCTCCCAATATTGATGAAAAAAACAACACATTCATATTTTTCATGTGTGACCTAGTCAAAGTCCACAATAAAAATGGATTAAGAAGGGGTATTGCCGTTAACAGGTTGCATGTACTCTAACAATTCAAATAATTAACTTTTCTTTGGCTTATATTATAGTTTAAGTTTCAATGATCATATAAAATATAAAAGAGTCACAAAAAATGTGTAAAAGTTTGAATATGGTGGTCGGATCCATTGTTTTTATACTGAGTGGCTGAGAAAGAAAGATAAACAAAGACATGAAAAAAGATGAGATTAATCTGCTGTTGAACCTCCTTCTCCTGCGACAGAGTCCCATACACAAAATCCTCCCCCCCTAGACCACATGTGAAGCCGGGACCTAAAACTGTAGATTCCCACAGCTATAAAAGAGGTGAGTGGGTGAAGCTGAGACATGACCGCTGCATTACCCAACTGCAAAACCTGTCTGTTGTGGTTCTGGTCCAAAAAAAAAAAAGCTCTGACTTTTTCTTTAAAGTTGTTAAGATGAATGCCAAAAAATGATTTAAATAATAACTGGGCTGTTCTTGTGGTCGGCCATCTTTCCTTTGAGCTAACAATGTCTCATGCAGTTTTAGCGACTCATTTCTGACGCAGGCTCCCTGGAGCCACTAGCCTGAGAGGCAAAAAGACCCGGGGGCAGGTTTAGTGCCCGGTGGAGACAGATGGAGGGGGTCTGGCCTGGAGCCAGTCTCCTGACAACACTAGACTGGAGCTGGAGCCAGATTAATGCACAGACTCCTGACTGGAGGTGGAATGCAGGAGGAGGAGGAGAGGAGCGTCCATCAGAATACACAACATTCATCAATGATAACATTTTAATTAAATTCTCACATCAATCTGAACTGAAAGGATTAAAAGTAAAGAGGCCTTCAAAACAAGACAGAAGTAATAAATAAATAAACAAGAGGGGGGAAAGAAGTGCAAGTATGAAAATATGATCTACATAAAAGTATTTATTTATTGAGCCTTTCAGCTGTTTTTTACACGTAGACATTGTTTATTAATATTTGTTCGATTAAAAACCAACTAGATTATGGTTTATAAAATAAACTGATTAACACACAGTGTCAGATAATTAAAAAGTGATTGAAAAATGATTTGTTTTGTAAGATAAATATCTGAAAAGTGTGGTGAACAGATGTCTTTAGCTCGAGTGATTTAATATTAGGATGCAGAAAGTCTTTTAAGATATATCTCGGTTTTAAGCATCTACCTAGAGTCTATAGCCCCATTTATACTACCCTCTAAAAACCGATCCGTGCCGAGTTCGGACCGAGCTTTGATCAGTTAGCCGAGCCGAGCTTTGTTTCTCACAACCATTTACACACTACGCTAGCACGGTTCCTGGCCTCCTAGTGTCGATCTACGGTACTAGATTCTCTATATAGAGGGAATCATGAATTTCAACATGGTGGCGCCCGTAGCATTCAGGAAGTATGGTTAAAATTGTGATATTTAGTTGTTTGCGGACAAAGAGACAAAGAAGGCAGCCTTCTGTGAATTTACTTGATAGTTGGCTTTTGGGAAGTGGATACGACAAACAATAGTCTAATCAGGGCTTACTGTTGGGATCTGGAGGCTTGTCAACCTTTCTCCACCAGAGGGAGCCTGAGATCTTCCTCCTGAGGGCGTGAGCTGACTTCTGCACACCTGTTTCCCATCTGCTCATCTGGAGGCTTTCTTAAGGAGGAGGAGGCTGACACTTCCCTGCCAGAGTGTTTGCCAGTAATGGTACCAGCAAACCTGAGCCAGCTAACTCTGATCTGTTTTCCTGATTTTTTGAGAACCTCTCAGACTCTGTGTTCTTCTGCCTCTCAGATCCTGACATATCTGGTGATCAGTCAACTCCTGGAGAAAACTCTCGCTGCCTGGAACCTGCCTGTCTGCCCTCAGCCTCCGCCTCTGCCCTCAGCCTGCCGATCAGCCTCTGGACCCTCAAGGTCCCCCCCCCTGCCGGTCAGAATACCCCCTGAGCAGGTATTAACCCAAACCGCCGTTAAACAGCAAGTTTCCTGGATCCACTCTAACCGATCTGTCCTCCTCTAGTTGCTTCCCTCCCGTGACCAGCCTGACGAACCAAGACCCCGTTCACATTTCTCAGAAAACATTGTCAATAAACCTTTTAACTTTTTTCCTGTCTCTTGAGTGTTTCTGCATGTGGGTTAGAAGATTAGACCCCAACATGACACTTACAGACGCAGGAAACAATGACAAACGTTGAGGTTCATCTCACTGCTAAGCAGAATCATCACTGGAAATTGTGTGGCACGGTAGGGGGGGGCTAGTGTTTTTATTAATGTCTGAAATTTAATTATAACGGAGGCTGACCGTAAGGGCGCGTTCTGCTCATGTGCTCTTTGTTATCTAAAAACTGAGCCACAACTGATGAACTAGTACAATGTTAGCGCGCTGTGTTTCTGTCGGGCGCGGTGCGGTTACGTTTTGCGCGCTAGTTTGCGTTTTGCGTACACTCCACATTTATCTCATTGACCATGTTTAGAGTGATCTTGGCACGTTTTCAAAAGGATAGTGTAAATGGGGCTTAAGGTTTCAGTACCAACTGAAGCCTGAATTAGTCTGAGCTTTGACTAGGCCATTCTAACACATCAATAATCTTAGATTTAAATTACTTCGGTGTAATCCTTAATTAAACCATAGAAGTTTTCCATCATATTAAATATAGGGTTGAAACACTTCATTGGATTAATCGAAATAATCATCAACTAATTTAATAATCAGTGCGTTAATCTGACAGACAGAGACCCACTTAGTCCAGTAATTATATCAAAATTGTAAAAAAAAGTTATATACAAAATTTACATTTAAGATTATAAAACGTTTTTGTCTGTTTTGGTTTTAGTTTCACATGGTTTAATTTAGTAAAAAAAAAAATCGTCTCTGATGAACCTTTGGCTATCCGATTATTAATCGATTAATCATATTCAACAGATTTATCCAGCCCTAATTAAATGTTTTGAATGATGGCTAAAAATGTAAGTTCCTCAGTTCTTGCTGTTGGTTTTGGTCACTAAAAAAAACCCAAAGGCGGTCAGAGATCAAGTCTCTTCTTACCAGCTAAACTAGTTTATTTAGTATATAAAAAATAAAGAAGCCATGTACATTAAAAGTGAAGCAAAAGAGCTTCATACCGTAGACCCAGCCGATGGCCAGAGACTGGAAGATGGAGAGAAGCAGCAGGCTGGCTCCACTGCATGAGAAGTGATCATAGATCTGGAACACGTAGAGGCCACCCTGTGGGATGTGAAAACATACATAGTTCCACATTCCAGCCAACGTGTTTTGTAGTTACCATAACCACCTAAAAGTCAGCATTTATTTAATCTAAATATATTTAATGGGGTCATGTGACAGCATGAGGGTCATTTAGTACTCACTGGTGTGACCATGACCAGCCCGACCAGGAAGCAAACCACACACACAAACAGCAGCAGCAACTCTCTGCGGTATCCTCGCCGGATCACGTGAGGATACAGGTCAGTCACCGAGGTCATGAGAGCCTCTAGACTCACAAACTGAACCAAGAGAGGAGAAAGCGTGTGTGAGCGCTGACAGTTACAGACCTCACTGACATTAGATTATCATGTAAAAGTGAGTGTCTACCTGCGTGTCGAGTCCCAGCATGATGATCATGAGGAAGAAGCAGACAGCCCAGAGCTGAGGAACAGGCATCATGGCGACTGCTCTGGGGTAGGCGATGAAGGCAAGACCAGGCCCTGTCAAAGCATATGGTTATGTTATTGTTATGCATTAAACTCCAAATAAATTCTAAATAATTTATATTCCAAAAGGTAGGACATTTTTGTAAAAATACTTTAATCTGAAATATTCCCATCAAATATTTAATCTTGTTTAATATACCCCTATATATATATATATATATATATATAAAGCTGAAATGTCTGCTCTATGGATGTGAAGTGTTTTTATATATATATATATATATATATATATATATATATATATATATATATATATATATATATATATATATAAATATATAAAACACTTCACATCCATAGAGCAGACATTTCAGCTTTACTGCCCTAAGAATTTATTCTATTTTTTGGGGATCATTCAAAATAACTAAACCTTCAAAACATATTTTATCCTAAAATATTTAGATCAATTCCAAGAGGGGAAGCCAAACGTCTTCAAACCTTGGAAACCAAGTCCAGTGGATTGTTTTTTTAAACCTTTATGGAATGACTATGACCTGGATGACTGAGAATCTTCATCAGCATCAATATAATCAATATCTTGAGGAAAACTGACAAAATACTACAGTAATTTGCCCATTTAGTTAGTATTCGATTATTGTATAGAATTTAGAAATGTCTGTGGTTGCAAGCAACATTTGGCATGTTTTTTTTTTTTTTATTCTTTTTAATCCTTGGATTAAAAACTGAAAATGTTACACTTGATATTAGAAAATTTTAGCATCCTCATATCAGCTGTAAGATTTTAAGAGATCAATATTTAAAAAAACATTAATTATTTCCAGCATTTTTAATAATTCTAATGCTTTTGTATTATAAAAAAACAAAAAAACAAAATCTGTCTTTTTTTTTAAACAGGGGTTATCTAACATCATGATATTACGTATTGACTCGTATTACATTTTTTAATCAAAGTAACCCTTTCTAATATGAGTATTTTAGACTGTTTCAGCTAATTCTAGGAACTAAAAGTGGGAAAATTGAACTGTTTCTCCCAAATATTAGCTATATTCTTACAAAAAAAAACAACCATAAAATCGCCTAGAAATGGTGCAAAAAGTTCCCACAATTTCTTAACAAGTATCAGTTGATATCCAATTTTATACCTGATTGAGCCACAGTGCCTATGTCTACACCCTGCTCCTCAGCCATGAAGCCAAGAACTGAGAAGATGGCGAAACCTGCCAAGAAACTGGTGGCGCTGTTCAGGAGGCAGAGCATGAAGGAGTCCCTGGAAACAAATATGCAACATCACCTGATTGCACACAGAAGAAAAAAAGGTTGTTTATCTTTATAAAAGCAGTCGGATCTGGAAATCTGAGGCTGTTTGGTGAGGAGTGTGTGTGTGGGAATGTGAGAGTGTGGGAAACATGGCAGCGAGGGCTTTTCTTTGAGGTGTGGCTGTGTCAGGCTGTTTTCTCTGCCCATTCCTGCCATTCCTTGTGGAAGCCATCTGACCAGTGGGAGCTAACATCTTACATTTCAATGTGTGTGTGTTAGAGAGAGGGAGTCAAAGTGTCTCACTTATAGCAGTCATTGTTGTATTTGTTGTAACTGCCCAGGGCTGTGAGACTTCCCAAGCAGATCCCATAAGAGAAAAATATTTGAGTACCTGCATCCATCCATACCTAGAGAGAGAAGAAGGAGCAAAACCAGGAAATGAAAGGAGATATTAAAACATAACATTTTTTTTATGATCAAATTTTACAGCCTTGATTGTAATATCTATGAAACAGCTTCCGGAGCCTTTTTACATGTTTTTCCATCACAAAGATTAAACGTATCTTCTTGGTATTTTATGTTATCGCTCAATAAAATAGAAATAACCAAAAACTACAACCAAAACACATTAAATTATACAACTGCAAATTGAAACCATTAGAAAAGTTGGTGGGGTGTGAATATTTTCCCAAGTCACAGCCATATCACCTGAAACAATAACAGAAAAACACACATCCCTTCAAAACAACCAATCGTTTCTTCGACAATCCTGACCAATATAAGGAACGTGGAGTCTACCTGAGGGTCAGCCAGGCGGGTGATGTTGGGTTTGAGGTAGTAAACGATGCCCTGAGTTGCTCCCGGCAGGGTGGCGCCGCGCACCAGCAGCACAAACAGCATGACGTATGGGAAGGTGGCCGTCAGGTACACAACCTGAAGGGTATACAAGCGCATAGCGATGATGGCGCTGTAGGCATCAAACTAAGATTACTGCAGTTTCTCTTTCTGTGGTTTCCTACAGGACCTTTAGGACTAATTCATAGCTACAGGTTTTGGAGTATTATATTTATGTAAGTGAATGCAAAAAGAAAAAAAAAGCTGTAAAACACTCAAAAGCCTCACATTACTAGTGTTATAAAGAAACCAGCCATTGCAACATAAATTATTTAGAGCAAGTTGAATCTTTCAGCTACAGAATTTTATAAAAAGAACTTTTCAGAAGCTCCAGTTTCTGAGAATAAATGGAAGATAAAATAAATATCCTGCCTGTACAAAGCTACTTTTATGGACTTGTTGAGGTGAAATTGGAAAAAAAAAAACAATAATCAAGGAAAAAATTAACTCAAAAAGAAACAAATCCTTTCTCAAAAAGTCCTAAACGCTGACATATGATGATACTGGTCTGTGATTCAATCCAATAGATAAGACATCTATGGTTATCTCTCTGAGGACTGAGGTGGCCAACGAAGGAAGTTTTTGCAACCTTAACCTTCTTAAAGACCTAACAATGGCTTCCAGAGACTTTGGAAGAGAAAAAGCCCCACAGCATCACAGATCCTCCACTGTACTTAACAACGGGCATAAAGCAAATCCAAACTCCTCCCCCAAACAAATTAAAGTGAAAGTAAATTTGGATCTTCTTTATAGACATTAATTTAATGTGCACCAACAAATATGTCTGTATCTTTTTGACCAAGTCTGCAAATAAAAAAAAAGGCCCCAAAATACTTGTTGTGCCAAGAAATTTTGGAACTATGGAGAGCCATGTAGAGCGAAACAGGCAACCTAATTAAAAATAGGCTGAAGCCATTGCAAGTGTTCATTTCAGGAGAAAATGGCCACTGATGACTTGAAGTGGAGAGCGTTTCCCAGGCTTAATTAGAGTAGAAAGTGATTGACCTAGTAATTACTGTGTGTAATTGTGTCTGACTAAATAGGAGAGTTATAGCTTGGCTAAGAAAACAGTTCATGGAGAGCTCTTAACCCTATAATGCCAAATGTATCATATTTGATACATACGGTTTCTGAAAAGTTTTGCGTCTGACACCTTTTGCATAATTTAATGATAAAAACTTTGCTCAAAATCCTATTGTTCACAATCAGATATACCTGATAACAGAGGGCAGAAGGCTACACAAAAAATAATCTTGACTTATCGCATAGTAATAAATTATCAATATCAAAAATGTATTTCTGTTTTTTCTTTCTACATATTTTGTTAAAAGGCCAAATAAGGACTTCAAACCAAAAAAAAGTAATTTTCTGTTTTTTTTTTTTATTCTTGGATTTGGCTTTAAAGGTTTAATTATAAGTTAACCTTTGCAAAATGTTTTACAAGAATAAGAAATTGGTAAATGAACCTCACAAATCCTGAAAATATTGATTTATTTGAAATCTACTGGAACTAAGAGGTAATGTTTTCTCAACATAAATTCAACGCAAGCAATAAACCGGTCAACATCAGAAAACTGGATGTTAAGGAGGTCTTGAAACTTTGTTGTTAAAATTTGCTTTTTTCACCTTATTTTTTTTTTTTAACAACCTTTCTGGCCCCAATGGACTATCTGCCAAACTCCATTAGTTCCTGAACTCCAGCTTCTTTGTTTTCTGTCTTTCAAAACTTAGAAAACTGATTAAAGGTATAGTGGAGGATTTTTCTTGAATTTGTAAAAAGACCCGCCCTCTTCACTTTGAAAAAAAATGCACATGCCCAACCCTGTACCCGCTACCAAGAGGGAACTCCTATTTGCATGCAGAGCTCATGTCTCCTCGTGCACACTCTGATTAAAAGTTGCTGTTCTCATCGCTCATACAAGCTTACTGTGTCCGAACGTCCGCCCTAACCCTTAAATCCCTCAATCACTATATAGAGCGGGGACTATATAGTGGACTCTATAGCCAACTTGGTTAACTTACCATTTGGATCGATGATCACTACTTTTTACTCCCTGTTAAACATGTAGCTCCTCCTCCACCGCACGGTGCCTGCGCCATCTTTATTATTAGTCGCCACTGTCGGGTAGCGGGGCCACTCTGACAGCAAATCCCATAATGCTTTGGGAGGTTACCTCCCTGCACAAAGCATTCTGGGATATTTCTGGCTCTTCTGAGGCATTTCTTTCCTTCTAATGCACTTCGTAGACACTTTTTTTTCTCTTTTTCTGTTACGACCCTCGGCCTTTATTAAAGAGCCGCGGTGAGAGCTTCACTAACTGTCTGAAACCGTAGCTCACCACACATATACGCCTGAAAGTGCGCATGTGCAGAAAAAGATAGCTAACTGTGGACGAGCATCTAGGACGGCCTTATCTAAAGATATCACCAGAATGATTGACAGTTAGGAGGACCACTTATTTAGATGATCCACCAAATCCAAATAAAACATCTTACTCTATACCTTTAATCCAGGGTGTGTCTGACCTCAGTAACCATGACAACATTAGCCAGACACACCTGGGTTAATCAGTTTGTCCAGTAATGAAACACAGGAAACAAAGTAGCTGGTTGAAATTTAGGAAGTGTTGCAGTTTGGCATTTAGTCCACTTAATTGGATTAACTTGGATTTATAACAGAGTGATTAATGAGAAATAACTACCTCCTATCATGACTTAAATGACTGCAAATTGAACTGAATTCAAAGGAGTTTATAAGTAACAGGGACAGCGATAAACTTTGACTATAGTAACAGAAGCAATAAACTAGCCTACATGCATGTATTCACGACTGTATGACATCGTTATCGGATTTCTGCTGACCTTTCCAGTAGACTTCACCCCCTTCCAAACACAGAAGTAGCAGACGAGCCAGACGACAGCCAGACACAGAGCCAGCTTCCAGCTGATTGGACCCAGCTCATCTAAAGTGCTGGACAGGCGGAGCACCTCCCGCCTGAAAGAGACACACGGATACGTTAAGAACAACATAGCTATGAATGAAACCCCAAAGATTCTACACTCACTCCCAGAACTCCATAACCGGGGAGGTGGCGTTCTCAGGCAAACTGCTCATGTTTGCCGACAGGTTGTATTTATCAAACAAGAAGCACGCATCTGCAGGAGAACACAGGATACAAACATAACCTTTACATCTACAGCGCACCACCTCACCGGCGTATTATAATGGACTTAATACCAACCCGTGTTCCAGGTGTTGTTGCAGTGCGACCAGGGCAGCTCCGCCTGGAAGCTGTGGAACAGATAATAGAGAGCCCAGGCCAGGATGACTATGTAGTAAACACAGCCATGCAGGATCATCACCTGGCTAGCATACCCGAGACCTGCAGAGACATGACAACAAACAGAGGATACACGTTTTTAGGGTGACTCTCCACATGCAGCCCACAGCTTTTATATCTTCAATAGGAAAGAAGGATCTGATGATATTGAGTGCGTAACAGACCAAAAGCTATACATTTCAAAAACGATCTAGAAATAATAACAAAAAATCTTAAATTAAGTGTATTTACCGTTAATTTATTCACGTTAATAAGATGATTTGTGAATAGAATTACTATTTTTACTCTTAAAATAACACAATTAGATAATATGTACTAGACATAAGAGAATGCAATAGATATTTTTTCTTATGACTGCATTTATTTCAGAAAATTTTGACAAACAACAATAAATAAATCAACCAAATACAAACAAAAACTAAACTAAACTCCAATTTCCAAACAAACTAAATTCACCTGAACATATATAGAAACAAAACCCTCCACCAAATAAACCTGTCGGTTTATACAGTCTTAAAAGGAGTTGGAAGAAGTAAATATTATTTTTTCATACCTTTATCCCTCTAATTGCACTTTAATTAACCTAAAGTAGAGGAACCTTCCTGTTGAAGCTTCATTTGTCTTATTTTAAATGTAAATTTTTTTGTTCAATTGGCAAAGTTTCTCACTTAACTCCTCAATTCAAGAGAAAATGCACTTATTTTAATAAAAAATTACTTATTTAGCTTTCAATTTCTTACAGTGTACTCCTTTAATGGAGTAATAACGAGAGAAAATCGCTTTATTAAACAAAAGGTTACCCCTTAAAGGTATAGGGGTGGATTTTTTGTGAATTTTTGAAAAGATCCACCCTCTCCACTTAAAAAAAAAAAAAAAATGCCCATGCAAAACCCTGCACCCGCTCCCGATAGGGAGCGGGTGCAGGGTTAAGATCTATTAAACGCGTGCAAGAGCGTGCATTAGCCGATTTCTGCTCATGCACGCTCTGTTTAAAAGTTGCTGTTTGCATCGCTCATACAAGCTTACTTTCTAAAAGATTTGCAATTTTTCCACTAATGTCAGACTCACCACCGGTACCTGAAGATGGGGATGAGCATGTAGGACGGCCTTATGTAAAATATCAACAGAATGATTGACAATTAAGAGGACCACTTACATCCTCCACTATACCTTTAAATTCGGAAATTTAGGAGGTTGACTATACCTGACTCTCATGGTCTGCTTATCAGAAAAAAAATTTCCACAATGGAAAAAAAATTGAAAAATAAATAAGTAATTTATTCTTAAAATAAGTGCATTTGTTCTTGAAGTGAGGAGATAAAATACACAGTTTGCAAATGTAACAAGACAATTTAGATTTAGTGCATATTATGGAATGATCTTATTTTAAGAGTAAAAATACTCATTCCATTGGCTAAATATCTCCTTTACCTATTCAAATAAAAATAAATACACTTCATTTAAGACATTTTTGCTTATTTCTAGATCATTTTTCCAGTGCAGATATAACATGTTCAAATCCAGAGGGAATATTCAGCATCCAATGAAAGTTTATTCAGCTGATAGTGATGAACTTCATGCACTCACTTTAATGCATCTAGTCCAAATAAAGCCTGCCAGGCTTATTGGTCAAAGTCCTCTATAGAGCATGAGCAGGTTCACGTCGAGACAAACTGATTTTAGTTAGATTTGCTCACTTCCAGAGTTTAATGCTCTAAATTAGCTGCTTTTCCTTCCATTCGCTCAGAACACCTCATCCAGAGTATGATTTTAAGAAAAGCCGTCAACATTGCTGGATGTCGTCTGTTTCACTGAACTCACTATGAGTTGAAGTAATATTTAACCCTTAGCTGCAGTTTGGTCACAGAGCTAGAGCATAAACCACGTTCTACGGCACTGATTTGGACTTGCTTGTTACAGGAGAGTAAAGTGAAGGACACAGAAATGCAGTAGTCCAAACAGAAAAGGAGCTAAACGCTTTACAAGTTACCTCTGTGTATGATTGCACCAAAACTGTGCCTAAAGTCAAGGTTATTATCGTCCCCCCCCCCCTTAGTGTTTTGTGATATGGAGCCAGACGTTCCCATAGAGCAGAGGATTTATATGTTATTACCCAATTTCCTGCTCAGATAAGTTTGTTTTATATTGTCTAGGAATACGTCTGAGATCCAAACAGAAGAGAACTTATAGAAGCAAAATTAAAGGTATAAAATGATAACATTGCATTACAGTTAAGGAGGTGTGCGGGTACAACTGGCAGTTTTGCAACAGAATGGAAGCTCTAAGACGGTGAAGGCATGACAGCAATCAAGGGAAGTTTTCTGGAGCCATTTGCGACCACAGATTCCAACAATGTGCAAAAATTTGCAGTTTTCCCTAAACCTTTATAGGGCACTCAGTGAAATACTTCGAACGTCAAAACGTTAAGAGCGCTATTGGAGGTATAAGACCTTATTAATTTTGTAACATATGAAAAATATATGTATGTGTTGATGGCAAAAAGAAATGGTTACTAAAATGTTAACAAACGTTCTTCTATAAGAAATTAATGAAAAAACGCTCAGAGAGTGAAAAAAAAACACTTTTTTTCTTGTTAAAACCTAACCTTAGATCATCAATGCTGACAAAGGGACTTACTTTTTAACTTTTTAACTTAGCTTGATAACTTTTTAAGATCACATTTTAATGTTTCAATTAGCTTTTTAACCTTTTCACTTTTTTCAACTTGGTTTACAACAGGGAACATATCTCCAAGGGATCATCTAACTGGTTAAATACCAAAACGGCATGTGCTGCCACATGGTAATATATAAATCTTGTGCTTCTAGACCTCACTGATGGATGGGGGTGGGAACTACCATTTAAAGGGGTATGCAAGAGACCAAAAACTGTAATTTGCCCTATAAAGGGTTAAGAATACCCCAAATACCTTTGAAGTCTAGAGAAAATTGTCCCAGAGGTTTGTTGATGTGGTCAAGGGGTTTATTTAGGTCTGCCTGTATGATTTAATGATTTAAATACTAGTAAATCTGACAAGAGGGGAGTCATTGACACCCTCTGCATGGCGGTTACTCCACAAAAACTCCTACTGATTGATGCACCCTTGATTGAGGACATTTTACCTGAAAGTTTGGTGGAAGGAAAACATTTGGGTAAAAGAAAAGTTTGGAAAGAAAACAAAAATAGACCTTTTCACACTTTTTTTTTTTAGCTGGAAATGAAGGAAATAACGTCCCCACATTGACCAGAGAAGCAATACCTATACTAACAAAGATATTACAATGCAAATGTCTCCATCACACGCAACACATATGCAGCCATTCATGCAAGGGGGGAGGATAGAATGAGAAGTAGAAGCGCAGGTAGACTTTTCCAAGGCATTTTTCAATCAAAAACAAACAAAAGCAAGAGAGGATCACCTCCGAATAATGGGCAAATAGTCCTCCAGGCGCTGACGCCTCCCAGGCTGGTGTACTGCCCCAGAGAGGTCTCCAGGAGGAACAGGGGGATGCCACACAGCACCAAGAACAGCAGGTAGGGAACAAAGAACACGCCTGCACAAAAAACATGAAAACCTTCATTTAAAGCCACCAAAATGATCCCGTACCGACTGTGGATCTTGTTAAAAACACAAAGCATGGAGGCTGAGCGACTCAAAGATGACTATCTTCTCTTTACCTCCTCCGTTTTTGTAGCAGAGGTAGGGAAACCTCCAGACGTTGCCGAGCCCAATGATCTGTCCAGCCACAGCCAGGAGGAACTCGGCCTTGCTGGCCCACTGGCCTCGGGCCTGCAGGGCTTCTTTCCCGTTGGGGAGGCCTCCTTTGTGGGACTTTTTCAGCGCCTGGTTGGCCTGTTGTGAAAGCGGCTGGTCGGCCATCACCGGCTCTGGCAGGGACACACACACACCCCTGAAAATAAAAAAACAACAACATAAGAAGACAATACTATGACAAAAGGGACAAAGCAAACTACACAAAGAAAACATCATTACAAATAAAGAGGGGAGATAAAGCAAAAAAAAACGTACATTTTAGCAGCCGAAAAGGAGAAACTAAAACTGGGAGCAGTTGTGCTGCTTTGGCTGCCTTGCTTATCTGGGCTGAGTGAGTCTCAAGGACGACTAATGTGGGTGTGTGTCCTTTATCTAAAGCCTGCAGGACATCCAATGCCCAAATTCGCCATTTCTCACTCTTCGGCTCACCATTCATTCAAAATATAGAAACATTTATGCTTAAAAATAATAATTTTGGATTAAAGAGTCTACATTTATTTTTCAAGCACATAATAACCCAAACCTGAAAAAAAGCTCTTATTCTATTACATATAAAAAAAATGATTTAGCTCTTAAGCTCTTTTGCATTTAAGCCCTGCATTAACACTGAGAACATACAGATAAAGGGAACATGTTTAACCTTTTCATTCAAATAAAAATCTAAATAATGTGGTACCGATACCTTATAAAACCTGCTTTTGTTGAATTCTGGTTCTAAGTCATTTAAAGTGTATTTTCACAAGCTTTCCACATTTACAGACTAAATTTAATGCACATTCTCTGCAAAAAAGCTCCTGTTCAGTTGGATTCGATTGATATTAATCCACATTCAGACTCTAGCCTTCATGACTTTGACTCAACTAAATTGACACATAGAAATTTTTTATTTAAACTGCACTATTAGACCTCTGGCTGCATGTTTGTGGTCATTTTAGTGCTGACAGGTTCTTCCCATTCACTTTGACCAGCTTGAATATTCCTACTAAAGAGGAGCGTCCCACAGCCTGATCCTACCTCTACCGTGCTTTTACTGGTGTGACATGCTGTTTGAGGCTAAAGAGTTATAGTTTCAATATATAGTTTCAATAATTAATATAAAAGAATAAAATAACAAAGCACTAAAGCTCTTATAATGATATATTCAGTGATTTTTGTGACGTTTCTCTCACCCAATTTGAAGAAATTGCATCTAATTTGATGTAAAGCCTCTTATACTGGACCTCTCACTTTTTTCATATGTAAAGCAAAGTGTATTATTGATCGTAGAGTCGGATGCTGCAATGAAATGTTCCTTTAAGTGTAACTTTCTAATGTTTTCCGGTGACCTCAGTAAGCTTCCCATCGTCGCCACCCCTCCTTTTGACCCATGTGATCAAATAACGCTGATGTAACAAGCCCACCTTTCATAACTCTACTTTCACTATTCAGAGTAGTGCTGTTTGATATATATCATAATAGCGGCGCAAGGACAATTTGAGGGCGCTTTTACCCCTATGTAGAATGTAACAGCGTGTAACCATATGTAACACATGTCATATAACGGTGTCGGTGCAGTAGTGAATAGCAGAGGCGCGTTGGAGCGTCAGTATGCTCCTTAAGTCGCGCCTCGCGCTTTAGCCACCGAGCCTTAATGTTGGTTTTTGTTGCGTTGGACGAGGTTTGAATGGACAAAGCGTGGACAGCTTGTGAGGGTGCCTACCTCTGCGTTTCCCGTGGGTCTCCACACCTCGGCCACCCCCCCGCGCGCTGAAATGGTTTATTCCGGGCAGCTCTGTGCGCCGCTGCTTCACTCGGCACCAAATTTACACCCTAGACTGTGTTTAAGGATCCAGTCGGAGAAATGGATGCCTACCGGTGATATAAACAGGTTACAAAATGAACCGCGTGGCATCATGGGTATTGAATGCTTTTTTTCTCCCCTTTCTTCTTCTTCATTGTTTCGAAACTTCAAAGATGCCGACCCCTGATGACGACTTTGCTTTTTGTTTGTCGTTTCCGCTTACCTGCTCAGAGACTACAACTTTGTGTATTTTTTTCTCTTTCATTGCATACATTAATGTCCCCTCAGTTGTTTTTCTAATTAGTAATGGATATGCAAAATTGACGTTTATAAACCATAAAAAAGTAAGTGTTAAAATAAATAGGAAAGTTTTTCCATCAGTTTTTTTGCATTAAACTCCAAAACCCAGTTTGAATAAATAAAAAAATATTAAAATCAGAGCATTTTTGGTAAATAAATTAATCTTCTAAAGGAATTACTGCCCCCCCCTAAAATAAGATTATTAGATATGTTTTTTTAAATAAGATAAAATAATACTTTTAATTCTTGCATAACAGGGACCAGGAACTGTACACTGGTCCCTTTTAGTCACTGTGTAAAACCGCCTTTATCACTTTGAATTCAATATTTGCACTTGAATATCATCATGATTTTCAAATGTACGTTTTCTGAGTAACAAAATAAAAGAGCTGTTAATAATTCAAGTGCAAAAGTCAACAGACACCATAGGAAAATTATCAGTTTAAATTGCACCTTAGGCTTTGGTTTTTCAATAAGTGACCAGTTCTGATTTTTCCAACCTTTAAAATATTATGTATAAAAAAGTAAAAACTTGGACTGCATGTTTTTTTTTTTTGTTTTTTGTTTTTTTTTTAAGGATCAATACAACCCGCTCATCAAACTACTTAACCTTTTTGTTTGGTTTTTTTGAGTCGCTGAAATGTTCTAGGTCATCATGCTGATTTTATTATAAGAAATAAAAGCATAACTTAAAAAAAATAAATTTTAAATGATTTCATTTTAGGGAACAAAGTTACGGCTATTTGACCCGATGTAATAAAGTAAATCCAGGTTGTGCCCTTTTTCGCAATAACTGCTGTAAAACTTTTGTAGTTAAAGGGCCTTTTACATCACTGTGGAGGAGAGTCGGCTTATTTTTTGTTGCCTTTTATCAAATTTCAGCTGATTTGGGGATGTTTTATGCATAGATAGCCTATTTAAGTTAAAGCAATATAATCTCAGGCGTAAAAACCTTTGCCATTCAGAGGTGGACTGGCTGAGGAACACAGTCCCTGAATTACCCCATGTTCACCTGCAACATGAGCTTACTACCTGAATTCTCCTTCAGGTTCTTCTATAGAGTAGAACTTATGCTGTCATCAGTTATGACACAGTTTTCAGGTATTGAATGGGCCAAGCAGGCCCTTACCATCACACTAAAACCACCATGTTTGACAGTTATATGCATTAAGTTTATTTCCACTTTTGTCACATCAGTTCACAGAATAACTTCCTGAAAGTCTTTGTAAAAGCAGCAAATGTTTTGGGAAATCCGACCATATCTACGGTATGTGTTTTGTTTTTGGTTAGCTTTGGCTTTGAACTCTCTTGGCAATGCAATATTCTCTGATTGTTGCATCAGAAACATAGACTTTAAGTAAACTAGGAGGAAATAAAAGGTGCTAAATGAATGTACTCAGTAATGCATGGCAAAAGCTAGATGCCTTGCAAATATATAAATGCCTTTCCTACATTTTGTCACTTAACCAGAAACTTTAATGTGATTTGATCATATTCTATTTTGCACATAATTAGGAAGTTGAAGGCGAATGACACATTTCTCTTCCCATTATGCAAGTGCTGTGCCAAAACAACTAGTAGTGTTTTGTTCCTATGCAACAATGTCTCTCTTCTGGACACTGTTTAGCAGTTGTGCTGATAGAACCACAGAAACCTGAATCTAAATCTTCTAGAATTTTCTTATTCTTATATTCTTATTCACTGCTCTATATGTTATTTCTTTTACTAATTACCAAAAATCATTTAACTGGTTATATTTTATTTTCATTTGTTATCAATTCATGTTATATAATGAATATGTTGTGACAGCAAAACTTACCGAATTTAGCCACTCAATGGTTTATATCACATGGATGCGTCACAGCTTTAGCTGTTCCGCTAACAAAAATGCTTCATAGCCATGAGGCAATGTGTATAAAAATAAATAGCAAAAAAGTCAACATCATGCCTTTCTTAGAGCTGAAAATTCTAGTAATTTTGTTCAGGATCATGGACAATGGCGTAACGACACAACAACAGGCCCGTAAGCAACATTATCTGTGTGGCCACCAAATGAAGTTCAACACCCCCCCTACACAAACACACCCACCCCACCCGTCGCTAACACATCGTACGTAACGGTTATGGTTTTAATCTACGCTCTTGATTACTATAATTCCAATTCGTAGTTTAAAAAATAACATGCTCAAATGCATTGTTCTTTTAAGATCTTGTTTGCGGTTTGAAACATATTATATGAGTGTATTTTTTTACCAACCGTCTAATGAACTATACACAGTTATTAACATAGTAATTCAAAGTAACACTGTCTGATTTGATATTGGTGTCATGTTTAAACGGCTCACCATCATGTTGAAATTTGAGATGTGTTGCGGTATAAATACGGTCCGATCTATCAACCCAGTATCAGGTGGGTTTAAGAGGAATTTTTCGCACCATTACATCTGCAAAGAGATGTCCTAGTCCACAATTGCCCTTATGAGGTCGGTGGCCCCTAAGCAACTGCAGTCTCTGCTTACCGATAGTTACGCCATCTATCATGGAGTTAGGGCTGAAACAATTAATTGTGATTAATTGATTAGTAATCAATGAATTGTTGAGTATAGAGACTATAAAACATGCCGTTAGTTGAAAGAGCAAACCATTCAAAGCAGGTATTATACTATAAACATAAAAAGATATGTAAATATTTCTGATTTCAAGATGAAAAAAAACCTTCCTCATTTAATATGCCCTATCTAGAAGTCGTCATATCAGAGGATATATTTGTTTTACAAATGCTGCACTTAAACAGCATGGTCGGACACAAACAGCTCTTTCCACGGATTTTTGTTATTCGTGAGCCAAAGTTTGAGATAAAAAAACTCATATGTCCCTGATTCTATAGACTGCAGACTGTTGGCCTGTAAGTGTTTCTAAAAGTTCATTTCATTTTTAATTTCAAAAAGTGTACTTCAAACCTGCACACATTTTACAATACATTTAATGACAAACAATACATATGCATGGCTTGAAAAGGGGATGGAAGAAGCAAAAGCTTAAACATGTCCAATCCCCTCCCGCTCATTTAGTTTAGGTCTAAAGCAGCTTTAAGCGTGTTTAACAGACTCTCATTCCTTGTGCTCAATCATCAATGCATTTATAGCTTTAGTAAAACGACGTAGCCTCTTGCTAACAGTCTGGTCAATGGATTTCATTCAGAAAATCACATTCCACTGCATGAACAAATTAGGCTACATTACTTGCAGTATAAATCACATTGCATAAAGGAGCTTGTGGCGTAACCTGTGCAGTCATGCATGTCTGGGCTCCAGTCTTGAGGATAATAAAGTCATCTCGGGGAAAGAGTAAACCATTTGTTTTTGCAATCTGAAATTAATTATCCTCTTCATGCTTTCTGAGAACCGTAACCTTGATAAACCACTAACCTTTTCCAGTACTAGCAACCAGCGAGTACCACTTTTTAAATTATTCCTTGTTATTACTAAAAGGAAGCAGAGCTTTGGCTTAATCTCAGGTGGCTGAGATGTTGACTTTAATTCCCTATGAACATTGTATCATGGTTCGACTGCTCCAATTAGAGCTTATTCCAGCGCAACACACAAATGGTTTGTCTCACAATGCATAAGAAGATGTTACACTCTCTAAGTCCATCTTCACCTCGAGAAAAACAGTTTGAATCCAAAACAGTTTCAGGTGTGACTAAGATAATGACTCGGCCAAACCAACAGATAAAATGACACCATTCAGCCTATTTGTAATAATTCTGGTGGATTTTAGACAACTGCAACGTTTCAGACATTCCGCTTTCGTTTCATTCGCTAGAACTGAGTAAAACGATGGAGACGTTATAGGTGGATAATTACACACTGTGCAACAGAACCCTTTAAAAAAAAGAAAAAAAAAAAGGGTTTTGTATATTATTATAATGAACTTTAAATCAAGCATTTTAGATCCTGCAGGTTTTAGTGCCCCCCCCTGCTTCAGAACAGCTGATTTTCATTTATAACTGATTAACAGGCTTTTGCTGAACCGCAATCATCAATATCAGCTGTTCTGCAGTAGTGAGTTAGCAGTAACTCAGCACTAAATTAGTGGGTTTAACACAAAATTTTAATAAAGATTTTTTATGCAATATAAACTAAAATAATGGAATTCTTGGTACAAAACGTTTTACTTGCAATAAGAGTCTGAAGTGTTGAAATCCAGAACCTCATCAGCTGCTGAGTTTCCTCCCTTTTAAAGCTTTTTCGGCCTTTCTAGACATTAATTCTTTAACAAGGAAAATTTACAATGAATTGGGTTAAGAGGCTACAGGTAGCTGAATCTGTCCACATCATGACACTGCCTCTGTCATGCTTTGCAGTTATGGCATGCTTATGATCATGAGATGTTCTATTCCTTCTTTTTATTTTTCTCTTGCCATCACTATTGTAGATCATCATGTAGGTTTCCTCTTCTCTTTTTTTTTTATTTTTATTTTTTTTTACAAAGTCTACTTCAGTCCCGCTATCCATAAGGTTTATTGGTGGAGATGTCTACTCCCGGTTCACTTTGTTGGCTGTTGGGACCAGTTTTCTCTTCACCGTGTAAATATTCTGTTATTCTGTGCTCACCCCTGTTGTTTTACATAGAGCTTAAATTTCTTTCTCTCTTAGGGTCCCAAACTTTATATTCTGCTACTCTTATTTTGGTGACCTTTTCACTTTTCTCTGCTTTTGTTTCACTTGCATCCTGGTCATACCTGCTTAGATTGCTCCTTCGACCCCATGTCTGTTTAAAACAAGATCCTCTACATGCTAACACAATACCTCAATTCAACAGTAGACCTTTTATCCATTGAAC